TGCACTCAGATCCACGTGGAACAAATGTAACTCAAAATTTACTTTACATTGAACTTTACCCACACATTGATCTAGTGGTAGGTAGGGCGCGGAGCAGGTAGCCCCGGGTATATGACACTGGAATTTACATTAAATGCATGAACAGGCGTTCACTAGGATCACCGGTCGCAGCGTGTCTTGGTGAAACTAAAAGCTGCTGCAATTGAACATGGCTCTATTAATACTATGTTTAAATAATGTAATATATTGCAGTACGTTGAGGCATTCTTATTTACAAATTATAGGTTAAGCAAGTTTACGAAAATTAAGGCAGTCTATGAATGAACATTTTTAATTTAGTAGCAGTAGAACTCCCTTGTGAAAGAGTTCGTCCAGCCTGGTGCTGCCACTTTACCTATTTCTGCCGCCAAGCTATAATGTCTGCATTACTGTGTTCCAGTTTTGAAAGGTAAGGGTGCTGGTGAAATTACAGGCACATGGGTCTTGTGAATTTAATACGTCTCAGGGTGTCGGGCGCAGTGCAGTGCCCCTCAGACCTTTATGATTTAAAGCTCTGAATGGCACTGCAATTGTTAGGGACAGACGTGTCGCTTACCACCAGACATACGCCTTGTTCGTCCCGTCGTTTAGTACTATAAAAAAAATACAACATAAAATGGAATTCTTTCCACTCATGAAGCTGTAAAAGAATGTAATCTTCCAATACAATTAAAATGACATCTGATTCATGTGTAGAAGTGCAATACTAAATAAAAGAACTCGCTTAAGTCTGGGGTACGTATGAAAGAACTTAAAATTACTAGGTATATCTTTATATTCTTTACTAGAAGGAAGGAGCCGAAAAAAATGGATTTTTGTTGGTTGTACATCACGGGTATATTGTATGCTATAATTAATGTTTAGTTCAACCCACCAGTTCCTGCATGGTGGAGAATATCACGAACATTTGAACATAGGTACGTTTGCATAGGAACATTTCAATAAATGACCATCTTTTTGAAGTACTTTTGCATTTTATATAAATTTAAAAAAGTTCCGTTATAGAAAGTATAGCGCGTGTAGGCGTAATTTATACAGATGATATTTCAACCACGTCACTTAACGTATGAGAATTATTCCAAACCAGAAGAAGTAATAAAAAGGGGATTAATTTTAGTAGTATTCGGAAACAGACGTGAGAAGAGATTGTGTAATTATCCGCGAAACCATGTTAGTTACAGTTTGGCACTAGCGGTCAAATAAAAGGGCTCCTTTTACTGCTGCACAACGTAATGGTTGTGGCGGGAAAGAGTTTTTAGTGCGTAGTGTCACTTCCAGCGAACTTGAGACTGATGAACTGATTCAAATTGTCTTTGACTGCTTGTTAACCAGTTCATGGCGTTTACTGTAACATTAAATATCGTAATATGATAGTACGGGGTACCTCGTTTCTTATATGGATCTTAACAAACCAATTACGTGATTTACCGTGCAATTTCCAAGTGCTTTCTGTGTAATTGCCACCGTCAGCGCCAGCACCAATTTTATTATGATAAATAATCGTATAAATTTTTACAGTACTATTTACTAAACTCTAAGCTTCGTAGGTATTCTGGTTTGGCGGTTGTTGGTTTTTCTTGCAGCGTCTGTATTTCATAGCACTTACAATTCGAATGTCATTAAAGTACGATTGAATAGGTATGTTCTGGACGAGCACTATTTTTCGAGATCTATTTTTGCTCCAATTCTACTTCTTCTATTGGTCAAAATAAAATCCAATTAAAGGTAAAAAAAGAAGAAAATTGGAATGAAAATATCTCATAACGATAGAATATCTCGTACATAGAGGTATGAGTAGGTGTGTGTAATACTTTCTTTTACTTCTATCTTTCCTCAAGATTTAAGAAAGCAAAATTGTTATATAGGTCGGAATCAAGTGAAGACTGTAGCTGATGGTTTTTACAGAGCCTGTCAGTATAGGGGTGACATTTTGTAATTAAGAAAAAATCCTTCTTTAATAAAGAGAAGAAAAAAAAGCAATATTTACAGGTTACATCTGTTTGCATAGAATTAAAATGACTCAGACGTTTGGACTTTGGACAACGGTACTGAAGAAGGAGTTCCAATTACTAGAGTTTCTTTTAGTTTATCGTAGTAGGCGCAGGTCAAAACCAATACGCACTGCAACTTCTATGGACAGACATAGAAGTTGCAGTGCCCGTCAGAACTTCTAATCGCAAAGACTTGTGGGGTACTGCCACTGCGGCCTTCATCCTGGGACATAACCTGACTAGTCCCATGTGTCTGTAATTTCACCAGCACCCTTACCATTCAAAGCCGAAACGTAGTAGTGGTTATTGTTTGGCGGCAGAAATAAATAAGTTGGCAGTACTTCCCTGGAGGAACTTTATCACAAGCTCTGCTGCTACTATATTCGCATATAATTTGATTACAGCTGCTTTATTTACATTGCTAAACGCTGTAACTGCATCCCCGCCTAAAGTTGCGGTGACACGGAAAACCCTAGTAATTTACTGTTGGCGTAGTTTGTTGCGCCTAAGGAAACACTTTATTATGGCGACGGGAACGTGTGGTTCCCGGAAAATGCCAGCTGCGAGTTTATGTACAACTTGTTTATTCCTACGGGGACTTATTAGGTCTTGTTAGGTATACAGTTGCTAGATATGATTTAGTTTCGTGGAAAACTTTTAACTAGTTGGGTGTTGGGAGTTAGGAAGATTCGTTTTGTGACATGTTGCTAACAAAGTGTGTACAAGTTTGACGTCACACTTTTACGGCATTTTGATGATAAGCAATTTAAGTGTAACGTTTAAAATAAATGACTAAAATGACGACGTAGATATATTTCGTTTAGCAATATAACACCCACGGTGTAGGTATAAAAACCAATGTACGAACAACGGCACATCAGAGTACACATTTTTGTTCGAAAATCGCCTCCAGTGCAACGGAACAAGATACGTCAATGTGTAGCTTGATGTGCTGGCGTGGTACATAAAAAATAAGTATGATTTGGCTGTTTAATTTAAGGCCCCCTGATTTCGTCACAGCAGGTTTTTTATGAATCCAAGTGACGGAACGAACAAGTCGTGCGCCTGATGATAAGTGACACTCCTGTCCATAACAGTTGCAGTGTCACTTAAAGTTTCAAGTTACAAAGATCTGAGGGGCACTACCACTGCGCCCGTCACCCTGAGACATAAGTCCTAAAGTCCCATGGGCCTGTAGATTCATCAGCACCACAAACCGGAATGCAGTTTCGTCATTTCGTCACCGCAGGTTTTTTTATGATACTAAGTGACGGGACGAACAAATCGTGCGCCTGATGGTAAGCGACACTCCTGTCCAAAACAGTTGCAGTGTCACTTAAAGCTTCAAATTACAAAGATCTGAGGGGCACTGCCACTGCGCCCGTCACCCTGAGACATAAGTCCTAAAGTCCCATGGGCCTGTAGATTCATCAGCACTACAAACCAAACACACACAAAAACACAAAAGTTGCGGTGCTGCTCAGTAAATAGTCACCAAGTTCAAGTAGCTTGAAGACTAAGTACACTTTTCCCAAGTGCTTGCTTATAGGGAAAATCGTAATGTAAAAGAACTTATTAAACTAGTTTTTCCAACAAGTTTTACTTCCAGAATCTTCCGTGTTCACTGTACATTGGTGCAAAAATATAAACGCTTGAACAACCTTTAGTGGAGGTACAGGACTTTAGAAGTGCCTAGAAGTTGAAAATACTTTTATTTCGAACAAGAAAACCAGATTCAAGTCTTCTTTCAAAATGAATAAATTCCTTTTGTAATTTTGTAGTTTATTGAATGTCACGATGTTTGACCATGACATTCAATTATTTATTTGTGAAATTATTCCATTAGTTTGTTATAATTATTAACAAACATCGAACACTAAGAAAAAATTCTTATGATCTGGCTTAGCTTGAAACGACTTTTTTGGCCGTAGCGCCATCTGTGAAGAAGAACTGCAACAAGCTTAGAGAAAAATCGTAAGGACCGACAGTACGTTCCGTGGCTTGGTTGGTACAGTTTGTTGGAAAATGCTAGTTCGAATCCAGCCAAATCGAAGGGGTTTTTTCTTAGAGTTGGATCTTTGTTTTAATAATTATGCAAATACTTTTTTCTTATTAATATTTAAGTACAGGATAAAAGATTGAAAAAAAAAACAATATTTCACTTATTGATTGATCCATTCATAAATTCACAGATTATCCCAAAAGATGGTCCGACCAAGCGACTCTCGGTATGCGTCTCCATGATGCACTCCACTATGCCAAAGACCGCCACAGATGTCACAGCGTTGTCATGCGGAGCTCGTTTCGCGGGGAAGTCACTACTCTCAGTAATGAGGTTTAACAGGCAGCCTTGGTATGTGTGTACAGAACAAGCCCATTTTAGGGCTATGGTAGATTCTTGCATGGTCTAACTACAGTCAACAAAAATTACAGTCGATCGTGTTAGGGCTTCATAATATGATATGATAGTACGTTGCTATGTTGTGATACAGTCAGTTGTTGACCATTTTTCATAAATGGAAACATTGTGTATTAAAATGTTCTAGTAATTAACTGTTCAAAACGTTGTTTAATATATTTTATACTCATTATAGTAATAATTAAAAATGTTATTTTATTAACGAATAATAAATAAACAGTTTTATACAAAGGTAAAATTTATCACTAAAATATTTTAAGTTAAGATACCAGTATCGGTATGTCAAAGGTTTTAGAGATAAACGAAAACAGTTTCATAATAATTTATTATGCTACAAGTCACCTTGACATTGGATCATAGATAGTGAATTTAAATACAAAAGTCATTGTTAAGTGAGAAACTTCACTTCCAGAATAACCATTAAACATGTTATTGTGAAGGAATATCAAACTTAATTAGAAATGATTATCAGTCACCTGGTTGGGCATGCTAGGAACGATTGCCTTTTCCTCTGTCCTGCCCTTGCATTAGTAGAAATCTGACTATTGGCGAAATATAAGTCTCCAATGACATGGAAAGCTAACCCAAGGTACATTGGTGCAGCGTGGTTTCTTTCTTTGGAAGAGATTCATGCGAATAAGGAAGTATATCGTCGGCTGGCAGACAAAAGAAGCTAAGCGTCACTTAGGTTGTAATGGGTATTCTACTTCTTGTTGTGTCATCTTCTTTTTTTTTACCGTCGGGAAATTCTCATGGATACCCTCCACGCGGGGGAGGCGAAGGGTTATGTCGGACTCCTACCGACTAAAACCTGACGGTGTTCCATCTTTTCACCATGTCACGGGGACGCTTACGCATTCTTCCGCGACTCCGGCGGTGATTGGTCTGACTGGGCGTCGAACCCCACCTTATGTCGGCAGCTGGAGAGCCATAGTTCTCCTTCTGCGACCCACTCTCCGACGGCAAATCGGGTCAGGGGCTGTATCTTACCTTTCCCTTTCCGCTGCCTCTTTCCGCACCATGACCTCCTCACAGAATGCCTGGACTGTGTCCCACGACCTTTTGCTCTCAACCATTGAGCGAACTATAGTTGGCAGAGAAAGGTCGCTCCCCACGGCGGCGGTTGTGTCATCTCCGACTGCAAGTTGGCTATCGTTACAGCAACTTGGGCTAATGAAATTACGGCTCGGAAGAGTTCTGTGGTACTTATGTTGAACCACGCTGCAAAATTTTGGAGTCATGTGGGTTATTTACGGCCTCACCTTCTGTGAACCTGGATTTGTCCGTAAGCAATGTGGGTAACTTATCACAAACTCGATTTTTTTCCGAAATAACGTTTGTCAGAATTTCGAATTTTCATTATACCGAAAACCGAATTATAATGAAACCGTTGCTCTTTCAGGATATGTTGGATGTTTATCGCAAAGACACGATTAGATTCGGTTAGGTTAGGTTAAGTCCTCCGGTCAATGGAGGAACTAAAGGCGGCAGCGGACCGGCTCAGGGCCACAAGAAAGGCCCCCGGTCCGGACAGTGTGCTAGGGATTATCCTGACACTTGCGTTGGAACACCTGGGAGAACGCGTATTGAAACTCTTCGACGCCAGCTTGGCGTCGGGAAGCTTCCTCCAGGTGTGGAAGGAGGGCCGCCTTTGCCTCCTCCTGAAAGAAAGCGTATCGGCCCATCGTGCCGTTCGATGAGGCGAGTAAGCTCTTCGAGCGAGTGCTCGCTGCCCGCATCGTGTCGTCGCACCAGTTCGGATTCCAGGCTTGGTGTTCGACCATCGATGCAATAACGGAGCTAAGGGGACAGGTGAGGAGGGCCAAGGCGGAGCGGGGGATTGCTGTGGCGGTGTTGTTGAACATCGCCAACGCGTTCAACAATCTCCCGTTCTTCGTCATCGAGGAGGCCTTAAAGTTCCACCGCCTGCCTCAATATCTGAGGCAGGTGGTGTCGAGCTATCCCACCGGGAGAAAGATCTCCTTTCTTGACCGGAACGGGGTGATGAGGGAGCGGAGCATGTGCCACGGGGTTCCACAGGGCTCGGTTCTGGGCCCGCTATTGTGGAACCTCGGGTACGACTACGTGCTCCGAGGATCTTCCCCCATTGGACTGGGTGTCATCTGCTACGCAGATGCGTTACCACCTAGGCGGCGCTTGGGCGCCTTATACCAAACGTGGGGGGACCCAGCTCCCTATGTCGCCGGCTTTATGCTGGCGTCATACGGAGCATGACCCTCTACGGGGCGCCCATCTGGGCGGAGGCCCTCACCGCCAGACTGCGGCCGCTTCTGCGCAGGCCGCAGAAGCTAATGGCGGTGAGGGCGATTCGGGCGTACCGGACGGTTTCCGGAGCGGCGGCATGCGCCCTAGCTGGATCCGCAGCCTGGGAGCTCGAGGCGTTCGTCCTCGAGCAGACCTACAGGTGCCGTGCGGAAGCCAGGGCACGTGGAGAGCGCCCCACACTAGAGGAGCTAACGGGGGTTCGGCGTGCCGCCAAGACCGCCGTCCAGGCGGGGTGGGAGGCACTCCGATCGGCCAGATACGGGGAGCGCACCGTCCAGGTGCTGCTCCCTGTACTGGCCGATTGGAGGAAGAGGAGGCACGGGTCTCTCACTTACCGTCTTGTTCAGGTACTCATCGGATACGACTGTTTCGGTGACTACCTGCACAAGATCGCACGGAGGGAGGTGACCCCGGAGTGTCACGAGTGCGGCTCTGCTACAGACTCGGCGAGACACACCTTGGAGGTGTGCCCAACCTGGAGCCAGCAGCGCCGGGATCTCGTAGAGGTGGTGGGACGTGACCTCTCACTGCCCAGCATAGTTAGAGCCATGCTGGGAAGCGAGAGGTCATGGCAGGCGATGGTCTCCTTCTGCGAGGACGTGATGTCGCAGACAACTTCTTTTTTTATGTAAAGAAGGAGGCAAACAAGCAGACGAGCCACATGATGGGAGGTGGTCATCGTCGCTCATAGACATTTGCAACATCAGATTAGCTGCCTATGTGTTGCCAGCCTATGCGAATCCTGTAAACACACTTTTTGAAGAATCCCATGTCATAGCGCAAAGAAAATACTTCAGGAGGAAGATTATTCAACATCTTGCAGGTTCAAGGAAGGAACGAACGAGATGCCCGCGTGGTCTTACAATGCCAGGCATCATAGATGTGGGCATGGACTCTACTCCTTTGGCGGGAGGTGCGATGGTAGAAACGAGACGATGGCACCAGTTCGAAAAGTTCCTCAGAGTACTCCCCATTATAAAGACGGTAGAACACACACGTAGCCAACGTCTCTCCGTAGGCTAAGGAGCTCCTTACCGTCTGTGAGTTTCTGAGACTTATGTCTCAAGGTGACGGACGTAGTGGCAGTATCCTCAAATCTTTGCCATTTAATGTTCGGAGAGACACTACAACTGTCATGGATAGGCGTGTGGCTTACCAGCAGGCCCGTCCTTTGATATTATAAAGAAATTGTAAAATTTGTAGATAATATTAGATCTAGTTCAACCCTGACTCAACTGGTTACAATCAACAATATTGTTACCTGATACCATCATCGTTATAGTAAACCCGATTCATCAGATTGCAACTTTACTGCGATCCCTCACGATATCATACCAAGTCATTTGATTCGCGCACTTATCCGATGGATTAAATATAATTATTCAGTCATGATAGGTACTTTTGCCTAAATTGTGATTTAAAAATTTACCGCATCAACGACTCGTAAACTTAAACATTTTTGAAGTCCTTATAGGAAGAATGATGAAATTTTCATTATACAGTAAAAAATAAATTTTGCAGCTTTTATGATTTAGGAACTTCAATATCTTTTTTAAGGTGAAATAAAAAGAAAATACAATTAACTTAATATTTTATCGGCAGTCACGTAAAAGATAACCGATATGCTGAAATTTTCAATTTACACATGCCAATCAGGCGATATTCACCCTTATTACAGAGACCATAATAAATGTATTAAGAGAGAAATTATACGCAGTTAAAGTTCTATAAAATAGAATGATCAAGTGCACGACTGGCATTGTCAATTGTGGACGGACAGAGTGCAATATGTCTACGAAGTTGCATTATTTTCATGTGAACGGGCTAGGTGAGCCCATCAGGTACATTTTGCACTATGCCGGTGAGAAATTCGAAGACGTCAGATACGACCCTAAGAGCTGGCCCATTAAAAATGTTAAGGATAGTACGTATATTGTAATTATTCGTAATTATTTTGGTATTATTTCAAATTGTGCTTAAATCAAATGTGGTTCCTTTTTCTTTGTTACAAACTTAGATGATAATAAGTGGATATGAGAAAAAGGCTTAATAACTTTCAAGTTGCTTTTTTTTGAAGTTACTTTGGTAAAATTTCAAAAGTAGATGCAAAAATCAACACTAAGACCGTTTCCGTCATAAAATATCACTTCACTATCTCTCAAATCGAATGAGAAGTATTGTAAACTATGAAACTTCACAATAACAATTTCAGCTCTTCCATTCGGCCAGCTGCCTCTCTATGAAGAAGGCAACCGCACTCTGAACCAGTCCCTTGCAATCGCACGTTACTTGGCCTCCAAGACCAATTTGCTGCCTTCTGACCCTTGGGAACAGGCTCTCTTGGACGCTGTTGTCTTCAACATTTACGACTTCTGGAGCAGTAAGTAGTATTTGGCTTCGCCTTTCAACGTTATTCAAGTATTTGCTATGATTCTGCAAATCAAGATAAAAAATCTGCATGAAGGTTAGACACTATTCTTCAATATGGATTCAATTATGTTTCATTTGTCGCTGAAAAATAGACTTTGTTTATGGCGTCAATATTTTTAATAATGTTGATAACAATTTATCTTTGTATGTTAAGTAGAATTTCTCCTATATCATCTTCAACTTCTGATAAAAATACGAGAATATGTTATTTATGTGCATCCATTACTATGATGAAATGACTATAATGTTAATGATTATATGAATGCTACATTTACTGTAGCATGTTTTTATGATTTGACTTTTATGCATGTGAATTACGAAAAAGTGGATTTCTTGCAGAGGTCACAGTTTACATCAAAGAGCAAGACCCAGTTAAGAAGCAGGCCATTAGGAAGGAAATCCTTGATGAATCTGTTGAGTTCTTCCTGTCCAGATTCGAGAGGGAACTGAAGAAGAATAATGGCTACTTTGGTAGAAAGGTACGTATGAATGAATATGAACAAGAATGTTATTTATTTTGGACCAGAATTTAATACTTTATTAGGTACCCGAAAAAGTATATGTATGACTGCAGGTGTTACAATTTAATATATTTTTCGCTCTGCTTGTATGGAACGAATACTGACCTCAAACATGATATACGGATTCGAAAATTGTCCTGTATTTTAAAGTATCGATATATGGAATATTTTGGATGTGTTACACATATATTTCAAATTTTTGTTTTGTATTTTTAGCTGACCTGGGCCGACTTTGTCTTTGTTGGCATCATTGAAGCCGCAAACCTTTTCCTTGACACTGAAATCGAGAAGAAGTACCCCACTATCCAGACCCTTGTTCAAAAGATCAGAAATCTTCCTGGAGTAAAAGAATACATTGCTACAAGGAAACCTTACTCTGTGTGAATGTGAATGACGTAAATAAATATTATATTACATTTTGATTAAATAAATTTAATTAAAGTGTTTGTTGTAGTTTAGTTTCATTTTTATTAAAGATAAACTCACATTTGTCTACAATCTCCTCTGATGAAAAGCGACACAAACGTGGCTGGTACACGCCTGTTCCATAACCAAGTTGTATCGTACAAGGAATGCAGTCTGGTAATAAATTTTATTCCATAGCTATTCGCATAATGAACGCGGAAACAAAACGTTTCTCGCGAAGTGGAGTAATATGTACCACAAAAGCATGAATTCTCTCGCCGCTTCCAGTTAAATGGCGACAGCGATGATGGTAATTCATTTTGGTAGATTAGAATTAAGAGGACTGATACATTAGATGTCTTCAGGGTGACGATGATATAAAATGTTAATTAAAATTACCTATCTAGGGCCAGTGTCCCTGCCGCTGGACCAAATGAACCGTATATAAGGGAAAAAAATTATTCGAACTGACGTTATAGTTCCATTATGGCCATAAGATTAATTTTACAAATGATATATTTTGAACGTATTGATAAAATTGTCCAAGTAATGTACAGAATATGCCGTCAGTTTGGCCATTCAGGTAATTTCATTCTGAATATCGAGTTCTTAGGTTTCCGCAATTGTTACACATAGGAAATGAAATTATTTATCAGATCCCATGGGACCCGAAAAGTTGGTTTGTTTGAAAAAACAAATATACGAGATTTAAATCCGAAAAAATTGTTTTATTCATTCTGAGTATTCAAAAAATTGATCATTACCGCGGACTCCCAGACCGCAAGCGTTAACCAAAAATATATTTAGTACATTATTTGGTGCATAATATGATACACCGGTGCAAAAAGTACTAGTCAACTCCAGATAAGATGATAGCTTGAAATACGAAATATATTGATAAGTATCTCAATTTGAACTAGGTATTTACACGATTTTCAACCTTATTAAAATACTTATATTGAACGTTGCAATGTATTCCGACAATGATATTTGAGTAAAAGATAAGTTACAAAACAAAGAATGATCATTTATTCAACCGCCATTGTGGATAGCGAACTAGTTTCAGATTGTAAAATGTCTAAGAAGTTATATTACTTTAACAGAAATGGACTTGCAGAGTTTACTAGATACATTTTGCACTACTCCGGAGAGAAGTTTGAAGACATCCGATATGACAGAAAGAAATGGCCTATCAAAGATGTAAAAGACAGTACGTATAACAATGTATAGAGTTTTTTTATTGTGTCAAGTGACGTGATGAACAAGCGACACGTTTGATAAGGCTGCGTTTCCACCAGAGATGTGCGAGGTAGATAGGCGGTGCGGTGTGCGAGGAAAAAATCCACCAATAGGATTACTTCATTTTCCTAGCCTCGCCTAGCGCAGCACTGGTGGAAAAGGGCTAGCGGAGTATTTGTACATATAAAAAAGCGAGAGATGTGTGCGACGGATGCGAGTGAGGAATGTGTACGAGGAATGTGCGCAAAGTACGCGAGCAGTCGTCTCCGCTCACCCCACCACACCGCGCCCCACCCGCGCACAGCTGAAAAGAGTCCTCTACTTATCCTCACACCCGCTCAGCTACACACCGTGTCACAGCTTCGCTACCCATTCTTGCATCACCTAGCTATCTCGCACAGATTTGGTGGAAACCATCACACCGTTTCACAGAGCCACTACAAATCCTCGCACTGCCTAAGCTACCTCGCACATCTCTGATGGAACCGCAGCCTTACAATCCCAGTGCCATTCAGTGTCTCTACCATGAGATTAAAGTGACAGTTATCGCTAGCAACCGCGTAAAATGTTTGTATACAAAATGTTGACAAAAATGGCGCTGTATAATTTGCCATACAAAATTGTGAAGTAATTTATGCTGTCGCTAGCGATAACTGTCACAGTAGACTCGTGGTAGAGGCACTGAGTTTTAAATTGCAAAGATCTGACGGTCACTATCACCGCACCCGTCATCCTGAGACTTAAAGTTGACAAGTCCCATGTGCCTGTAGTTTTACGAGTATGCTCACATCACTGCTTGTCTTGGTAATTTCTTAAAAAAAATATACATGAAAATACATGAAATACTATATACATGAAAAAATCCTTCAATCCGGCCGGATTCAAACCGACGCCGACGTCTTCTAGCAAACCGTGCCAGACGCTATGCCAACTAAGCTGGTATAGCGGCTTAAAAGTCGTTGATAAACCAAAAACAAAGATCCGACAACAAGCACATAGAAAAATTCGCGAGGTCCGCCGGTTCGTTTCGTCGCTTAGTTGGCATAGCGTCTGACATGGCTTGCTAGAAGACATCGGTTCGAATCTGGCCGGATCGAAGGAAATTTTTCTAAGTGTTCGATCTTCGTATTAATTAATAATTATAACAAACTAGTGGAGTAATTTAAAAAATAAAAAATTACTGAATATCAATTCAATACAAATTTAATTTATACATGAATTTGAATACTTATTATTGTACCAAGAAGAATGACATACACACTAGTTTGTAATTGCAGAACTTCCCTACGGCCAGGTGCCTATCTACCAAGAAGGCGATCGCACTCTAAACCAGTCGATAGCGATCGCCCGTTACGTCGCTAGTAAAACTGGTCTCCTGCCATCTGATCCTTGGGACCAGGCTGTCCTGGACGCTATTGTCTTCACCCTTTACGATTTCTGGAGTACCAGTAAGTTATTGCTTCACTCTACTTTTTATTATTTGTAAAATATTTATTCTGGCATCAATTTTTAATATAAATGTCCCAGTGACATATATACATACATAATATCCTGTATATTTATAAGTATATAATATAAACATTTAGATAACATCACATACGTTGCTTTGATCCGAATGTAAGTATCTAAAGCACTTGTGTTATGGAAATCGGAAACAACGACGGTACCACAAACACCCAGGCCCGAGACAACATATAAGTAAGTAAACCGTGCCAGATGCTATGCCAATTAGTTGACATAGCGTCTGGCACGGTTTGCTAGGAGACGTCGGTTCGAATTCGGCCGGTTCCAAAGAATTTTTTGTAAGTATTCGATCTTTGTACTAATAATTATAACAAACTAGTGGAGTAATTTCACAAAAAATAATTCAATATCAATTTAATAAAAATAATTAATTAGAGTTAATAGCGACATGTTTAGCCAGGACTGGTAGCTGTAAAGGTATCTAACTGTGTGACGAAACACTTTCATAGATTTTTCATAGATGGCTTTACGGCTAAAAAGTCGTTGAAAACCAAATACAAAGATCCGATAATAAGCACAGAGAAAAATTCATGAGGTCTTCTGATACGTTCCGTGCTTAGTTGGTATAGCGCCTAACACGGTTTGCTAGGAAACGTCGGTTCGAATCCGGCTGGTCCAATTGTTACAAGGATTGAGTTTTAAATTAGGATAATAAAGAATATTTAGAATTTACAAGGCACCAAATTCCATTAATCCTGATACACTTTCTTGAAGGTTTAATCCAACGTACTAATATTACATATAATCTTTATAATTACTGGTAAATATGTGTGCATATAAAGTATATATTCTGGTACAATAATTATAAATTTTTTATAAGCAAATGACCTGAAAACTTTTTGGTATAAATAAATAAATAACGAACACACTCTAATTATAGCCGCACAAAAATCCTGTGTCACACATAAACAACCACAAAATACGCCCAAACTCATAAACCTCTGGTAGGTAATCGTTTGGCCATGGAGGCAGTTTATGATTACATCGTCTTCTCCCTGCTTCTTCTTGTCCTTATCCCACGTTAAGTGGGGTCGGTATAACATGTATTTTACAATTAAATCTATTTGCCAAATTTAATTAAAATCGGTTGACAGAAAGTGAATGAAATAAAATAAACCGGATTCATCTCCTAATTTGGTACCCTGAGAGGTGGAATATTTTCTTCAAGTTTAAATGGGTCCTCTACAGATGTACCCAATTTCCAGCAAATAAATAATCATCGAAATCGGTTCTCAAATATCGGAGTAATCAAGTACCTAACACACACAAAAAGAATACAGTCGAACTGAGAAGCTTTTTTTTTGAAGAATAAACTTATTTTACATAGAGTTCTTAGGTATTCAATATCGGAAATAAAACTATATCTGACAGCCCCATCGAGTATGTAACTAGAAATTGAGGTGAAATAAGGGCCATCATCACTGGAAACTCATCAGGCAAAGGGGGCTTATATCACTTTTAAATATCATCTCTCGTTTGCACTGAAATCACAAATTAGAAAGCTGAAATAGTACAGCGCCAACAACTGACCTGTGTGACGCCTCCGTATATTCCAAAAAGATTGTATTTATTGCATTGACTTGTAAATAAATGGACGGCGGGTCTAATACAAAAACCACGAAAAAATGTCCCAAGTCAACCTATTTAAACGTAGTGACATGTCAAGGAATATGAAAAAGCTAAAACGTTGAATTTAAATTGTAATGTCATCGCAGTACTGTCTAATTTTGCGTGCTTCGCTGTCAGTCGAACAAACGAAGACTAGAGCGTGAATGACGCTCTGTATACAATTTTAACGCCCTATAAGTTCGGACACTTTTTAGCGCGGACCCGACGTCCATATAATTGTAAGTCAATGATTTATTGTAATAAAGATAATATCTCTATGGGTATTCCATTCGGTGGTGGGGGAAAAATAGCAAAACATTTAATAACAAAACAAACGGTATCACATTTCAAGGGTTATTAAATATGTAAGTTTCCAATTTTTGTCGATTATAGCAAAGCTCAAGTTAAACTGGTTGATTTGAAGTGAAACTTTTGATGACACCCGTCATTTGTTTCGAATTCGGGCTGACCAATCGGATCGCAGTTGTCACTGTAATGATTTGGCAGAATAGTTTTCAAACAAATTAAATGACATTTCGTCTCTATTTCTGGTATATACTCGATGGACAGCCATGACCCTAAGATCTATAAGGAGGTCGATTCGTTGTTTTTTTAATGAATATAAAAAATATATAATAATTCCCAAAATAAGTCTTATTGTTGTAGTCAAAATAACTTCTGCATTTCTACTATCAAAATATAGATAACATTAATATGATCTTATATCATAAATATTTATGACTAATTTTTTTTTTTTTTTTTTATAACGCACACACTCAACATAGCCCCGCACTAGGGAAACCCTGTGTCGCGGGTGCCATGGACACACATAGACAACCACAAATTACACCCAAACTCACGAGAGAAATAAATGTAGGCCATACAAATATTTCTCCCGGCCCGGGAATCGAACCTGGGACCTCTGCGTGGCAGTCCGGCATGGTAACCGTTCGGCCACAGAGGCAGTTAACACTTACTTAACAACGTAGATTTGACAACATCAACATCATCATGATAATTAAAATTTGTCTTATCTATCTTCATAAGCGCAATACGGAAGATAATATGAAGATAAGATATTTAAAGAACAAGAACATATGATACTTACTTACTTTATGATACCAATTGACGCCTTTACGCCTGGTGGTAAGCGACACGCCTATCTATGACAGTTGCAGTGCCACTCAGAGTTTTATACCGCAGAGATATAATTGGCACTGCACCTGCGCTCGTAACCCTGAGATGTACGTTGACAAGTCCCATGTGCCTGTAATTTCACCAGCACCATTAAGTAGTAGTATATTGGATTAATTTCAGAAGTCCTAGCCTTCATCAAGGAGCAAGACCCGATGAAGAAACATGCCATTAAGAAGGAAATCGAGGACGAAGCTGTTGATTTTTACTTCTCCAGATTCGAGAAGGAGCTAAAGAAAAATAACGGACACTTTGCTGGAAGGGTGAGAAAAATAAGGAAAAAAATTTTCAACCCCTTGATTTGAAATGGATAAATAACAGTGGATTTATCGGATTTACAGCATTGTAGTCCGATAAATCCAATAAAATAAATGCCGACGGCCATTGCGTATAAATTTTTCGCCGCTGCAATCGTTAAAATAAATTTCATATAATTTTCTTCGCCATATTTCACACAATTTACGGATTTTGCATCGTCATTATCACAATAACACACATCATTATGCGTCTCATTGAAAGGCACGGGTCTCCTTTCGGACTCAGTCCACCATGTTGGCATATTTCCACGTTTTCCACGGGTTATAAATCTTCATCGACATGCATTGTTCCGCATCATTACCGAGAGGTAATTGCTACCATGAACCAATAACCAAGAGGACTGCTAACCGTGATAAAAGACGGCGTAGTCGGGTAATTACTATTGGTACACCAGATGTCGCTACAAGTACCAAATACCTATTTTTGTTACTAATTTGTTTAACGTTGACAAGCTGCAATTTATCCAAGCTACTGTAATTTCTAGTGATAACAAACAAATCAAGTAGATGCCACTTATGACACAGAATTTTATGGATACTACCGGCTATTCTTTTATTTTGTTTAGGATTAGCGCCATCTATCCATATTAGGAAGCGTTAATTTATAAATTAGTTTGTAACACACAATGCCATCTATTGACACGCATGTTTGTCAAAGTTCAGAAAATAATTTTAAGGGAAAAAGACTTATATTTCATATTAAAGAGGACTTAATTGATTTCCACAAGTTTCAAGTGAATGAATCACGTTTGACGTTTGTTCACGTGTGGCTTTGTTATACCAAAGGTACTTCACAAGGCTCTTGACAGTTGACTTCACAAAGTCACAAATTTATTTAATGGTCAATGTATACGCTTCTTTAATCACATTCCGGTTGATATTTAGAATTTGCCATTTACGAGGCTTAAAACTCGAGTGAAAGAAAAACGTTAAACTAAAGGTTAATAAATAGCTACTGCGTACTTGGATGACAAAAATCCGTGGTACTGATCCGTTTAGCTCCTGCATTCTCAATCTAAAACATTTGAAATAAATATTGTAAATGACAAATATATTCAAATTTATATTTACAAAGAGCAACCCTTAAGGCATCGTCCTATCGTCATCACTCGCGCGATGATGCGTCGTACGCACAACGAAAATGACCTCCCGACTGTGCGCTCGAAAATACTGTGTTCTACTGAATGTCCTATTAAAGGTCGCGCGATTACGCGATGCGATCAAATTGTCTAGTTTTCGTTGCGCGACCATCGACGCTTCGTATTGATCGGACAATCGCCAATCAAACATACTGATCAGTGTCCTAATGGCGCTCGCTAATATTCGTAAAAATGTAAAAATATTTTTTCAGTTCGTTGAAATACCTACTGATTGTAAAATTCACCGCGCTTTTTTATGTTTTTATGGAGTATAGTGGTCTACGTTTTCCTTTTTTAATGCTATTTACGATTAAGTATTATTGCACGGCAGCAAAAACTGTGCATCCCTGTTAAGAGCCATTTCGAGTGTGATCGCATCGCTCCAAAATAGGACACACGATTTCTTGAATGACAATAGGACAGCGCCCTAGAGTTTCTTGCTTAATCTTCTGGAATCTGCCTTACGAATGAGCGGCAGAGTTTAATCAATATGACGATTTCAAGTGTACTTATGACATAACGATGATGTGAATTTGTACGATTTTATTGCTTTTATGCAGAGTGATTGTGGGAAAATTCATTGGACAAGAAAATGCACGAAAAAATATTTAACATAAGCGCAACTATTTTGCGCGAATTAACCATCTCTGGTTTCATGAAGTAGTAAAGTAACTTCCTTTCATTTTTATTAACATTGAAGGTTTCCTTGCGGTGGTGTTCTTTATATATTACTTTAAATATTCGAAAATAGTATTATTTAATTATATAATTCTCGAACCATCTCATTTTTTTTATTTAGTTTGTAGTTGACGCTTTCACACATCCTGTTCTTTATTTCCAGCTCACATGGGCCGACTTTGTCCTTGTTGGCATGGTCGAAGCAGCAAATTTTTACCTCAGTATTGAAGTCGAAAAGAACTATCCCACTATCCAGAACCTCGTTCAGAAGATAACAAACCTTCCTGGCGTAAAGGAATATATTGCTACTAGAGAACCTTACTCGTTGTAAATTGGGTCTACATTTTAATTTTAATAACTAGACCCATATCATTCGCGGCAATGAACTCTCTCCTGATGTTTTCAAAGACTCTTAATATTTGTACGGTACAACATCAACTTTTTCCTCTTCTTCTTCCAACGGTTTTCTTCATTCACGATTTTATAAGATACTACGTGACTTGACGAACAAGTCGTGCTCCCGGTCGGTGGTAAGCGCACACCTGTTCATATGCAGTGCCACTCAGCGGCACTGACACTGCGCTCATCAGCCTGAGACATAAGTTGACAAGTCCCATGTGTCTGTAATTTCACTAGCACCCTTACCCTTCAAAACCGGAATGCATTAATGCTCACATTACCACTTGGCGACAGAAATAGGTAAGGTGGCTGTACTTCCCTGGACGAACTCTTTCCCAAGGAGCTCTACTGCTACGATCACAATTGCTTTCTATTCTATTTGGACTGTGTGAATTTTTATTTTGCTGTTAATATAATATATACTAGTCATTCACATGGTTTTTATTTACCTAACAACATACCAATTACATTACATTGCACAATAATTATCTTAAATAAAATACCATTTCGTCAGTATCTTTTTAACCTAACAACATATACTCGTAAGTTGCATTAGATTGCACAATAAATAAATTAACTTCTTATTTTTTTTATTAGTAAATGCATCCATACAGGTTAAGTGTAAGGAACTAATCTTCCTTCCTTCGAATCCAGCCGGTCGAAGGATTTTTTTCTAATTGTTCGATCTTTGTATTAATAAATTATAGGAAATGAAACTATTTTTCCGGATTTAAATCGCGTATATTTGTTTTTTCAAACAAACCGACGTTTCGGGCCCTTTACAGGTACCATGGTCACGGTTGACGGTTAATAAATTATTACAAACTAGTGGAGTCATTTCACAAAAAAAAAATTGAATACCAGTTCAATAAAAATTTGAATACAGTGAATAGCAACATGTCTTAGCCGGGGCTTGGGGGTGATGAAATACTTTCATAGATTTCTCATAGATGGCGGTACTGCTAAAAAGTCGTTGAAAAACCAAATACGACAACAAGCACAGAAAATTTCGTGAGGCCCGCTGGTTCGTTCGGTGGCTTAGTTGGCATAGCATCTGGCACGGTGTGCTAGAAGACGTCGGTTCGAATCCGGCCGGATCGAAGGAATTTTTACTAAGTGTTCGATCTTTGTATTAATAAATTATACAAAATTATAAATTTAAGGTTAAATAAAAAAAGTTATTTTACATGGACGGCCTTAAACGTTAACATATTACTTAAGATATTGGGGTACACTCCACACATCAGCCTGGTGCAGCAAGCGAAAAGCTACAGGTGAAGACAAAAATTGGAAATTCCTTTTTCTTTAGGTTTTAAATGCTATGATTTCTGTTTTGTGGTGAAATAAATGTCTTTTTATTTTATTTAAATATCATTTTTTTAAAATGAAAATTTCAAAGAACCATTTCGATAGATCGTCGAAGCGTAGAGAACTTAAATTGCATAATTTCCGAAAATAATTATTGGGACGTTCCTCAACGGAAATTCATGAAATTTAAAAACAAAAAATACAATTCTACGAGTTGTGACGAACTTTGAATATGGAAGCTAAATTTTAAATTTTGATTTGTGAGCCTGAGCTAATTGAAGTCAAAGGATTGTAATTCAATGATGGAAAAAAAATGTTGTAATTACGCGCTCAATTGTAAAAAAAAAAGAAAAAATGAGTTAAATATTTGCGAACCCAAATATGCAGAACTGAGAAGAAAGAAAAATAAAACAAAAATGAAAGACTGCTGAGCTTATATAACAGTTTTTAGTAGTTTTATACATGCCAGTTAAAAAAAGGTCGATTTAATTAAGCATTTATAACATATCTCAAATATAGGAAATGAAACTATTTTTCCGGATTTAAATCGCGTATATTTGTTTTTTCAAACAAACCGACGGACTCAATATGGTTCATGGCATGTGATTATAGTTGGTCAACCGTGACTATGGGACCTGTAAAGGGCCCGGAAACGTCGGTTTGTTTGCAAAAAAAACAAATATACGCGATTTAAATCCGAAAAAATAGTTTCATTTCCTATGTGTAATAATCGTGAAAACCTAAGAACTCGATATCTCAAACAAATAAACTTTACTCGAAATAGGAATTTTCGAATAGTTTGCAACAATCAAGTCATACTAGATCATAAAAAAATTGTAATTCTATAACCTTGATGAATGACAAAGCAAATTCTATCAAAACAAAATGCTTGTTACATACAGCACTAGACCGTATACAATACACATTGGGTTTTAGACAAAGACGATCGGCTGATTTCGGCTTTGTAGAGCGTCATCTCTGTTACCTGTGTGACATTTTATCCCTAATTTATCAGTCATGTGACGGAAACGACAAATCCAAACGCAACCGATTATGACCGATAGTCTTTTTCTAAAGCTAAATGATGTACCTAATATTAGAGCCTGGAATCACAATTTTCGTGTATTATATAGTTGATGTGGAAAAGATAAGATTAAAAATAAATAATTTAAACTACGGTACTATTTTTATATGAAGATATTATTTAATTTGTTGCATCATCTGAATAAAATCTCCAACGACAGGATTCTATACAAAAAGCAGATAACTGTCTAGTCATCCGCACTCATCATTAAGGCAATTTTTTACCTTACCGACATACAAATACGAGTGAGGTCATTTAAGCCAATTTAGTGATCTAGCAGTTGGTATATAAAATAGAATTATTCATTTTGTCGGCATTGTGGATATTGAATCAACAGAGTGCAAAATGGCGCAAAAGTTACATTATTTCGATTTAAATGTGTACGCCGAAGCCATCCGGTACATGTTGTACTATTCCGGCGACAAGTTTGAAGACGTCCGGCATGACAGACATCAATGGCCAATACAAGACGTCAAAGACAGTACGTATATCAATGTCATAACATCCTTTATAACATTGTATTCATCGTAATACTATAACTACTGGCTGGGAGAATTATTTGTATGGCTTACATTTATTTCTCTAGTGAGTTTGGGTGTATATTTTGGTTGTCTATGTGTGTGTCCGTGGCACCCGCGACAAAGAGTTTGCCTAGTATGGGGCTATGTTGAGTGTGTGCATCATTATTATTATTAATAGAATTTCATGATAACTTTCAGTAGGTGCACTTAAAAGCATAGGACCCAGACACATCATTTCTTATAGCAATGGACGTTACTTACAATTACGATGGAAAACAATTTTATAATCAAATTTGTCTCAAAATTTCGATGTAAATTTTCTTTTGAAAATTTTCAATGATTCAGTGATCTTCATGAGTACTTAGCGTAGATATTACCTACCAGTTGAAGCATTTTAAAATCAACTAGGTGTTTTTTTATTTTTTAGCCCCGCACCGGTGAAACCTTGTATCGCGGGTGCTATGGACACACACATAGACAACCACTAAATGTCACAAAAACTCACAAGAGAAATAAATGTAGGCCATACAAATATTTCTCCCGGCATGGGAATCGCACACGAATTTAATTTCCCGTCTCCTACTATTTTCGTCTATGAAATACGTGTTTTTGTTTTTAGTTACTAACGAAGTTGACGAATGAATTTATTATCCTTAAACAAACATCTTGTAGCTTTAAGTTAATTGGTTGAAATAGTTTCACAGTGTAGTATGGAGTAAAAACGTCAAGGTTGATAAGGCAAACCGTCTCTAAAAACTTAACGTGTTGTTATTTCAAATTAATTTTGTTTGAAGGATCTGTTCACCATTTTTTATATCTAAAATGTTTTGTAATACTTGTAGTAAACATTTCACAGAAATACAAAAAATAGAAAAAAAAAAATGGTGAAGCCTTTTAATATTTTGTAAAATTATTAACTCAATAGAAAATTGAAATTAGATTTGATTCAGAACTTCAGTATTGTAGTAATCGTCCATGACATAAATTGTTAAAAAATTATATGTATAGGAGAATGAAAAAAAAATCTTGTCTACCTTATTTGTATTAGAAATCTACATAGAAATATAGACAATTAAAAGACCATTTGTGTTCGAAAAAGCAATATGTGAATCACCAAATTTTGTATCCATGTAATGCAACCATAGCTGTAAATTGTTTGACGAACCAAATAACGATATATATATATATATATATATATATTATATTTTAGATGGCTATCGTCTTCAATTGTCATGCTAAAAAAACTGTATTTGCTATTATCGCACTTTGCCTTAAGCAGGTATTTAGTCTGAAGAATAGTGACAGACATAACATTAATATGAGGAATAAAAATAAACTAGTTGTTCTTGTCAGTCGTCTTCAGAAAGTCTCAAATTCATTTAAGTTGTAGGCAATGTATACGCTTCTATAATAAGATTCCGGTTGATATTCAAAATCTGCCATTCACTAGGTTTATAATCTCAGTAGGTGCAGAGTACTAAAAGAACCAACCTCAAAAGTTCTGGAATTACATCTTTTTGCGAAGTTATATTGAAATCGGTTACCGGAAAGTGCGTGAAACGGATTCATCCCTTAGTTGGCCACCCTTAGAGGTGGAATATTTTCTTCAAATTTATATGGGACCACTACCGAGGTACCCTCTTTCCAACAAAGAGTCATTCAAATCGGTTCATAAATGCTGGGATTATCTCGTAACATTCTTAAATAAAAAAAAAACATACAGACGAAATTGAGAATCTCCTCCTTTTTGAAGTCGGTTAAAAAGTATGATGATGATGAAAATGATGATTTACATACTAAAGGCTATTTATTATTCAGTTTTTGGTTACCTATCTGTAGTCCAAAATGACATTTTGCAGAAATAATGCTTGGTCGAAATTTCATAACTTCGAACCTAATTTTGAGAGGATTTTTTTTTAAATTTGAACGTAACTTAACCTAACCTGACAGAACCTAATCATGTCTTGGGATACACATACAACATATCCTGAAAGAACAACTGTTTCGTTGTAATTCGGTTTTCGGTGTAATGAAACGAACAAACGTTATTTCGGACAAAAAAATTTCGACTTTGTGGTAGGTTACCTCAGTTTTTGCGTTCTTGGATGCCAAAACTTCGTTTAGTTCTTGCAGTTTGCCTCGATCTGTGATGTTTGGGATAAATATTGCGGATGATGAATGTGTACAAATGTTTATTTAGAAAGAGCAACTCCTAGAGTAGTTTACTGATTATTCTTCTCAGGAGAATCTGCCTTAGACTACAGTTACTATGCATGCGAGTTCTGACGAAAATGTGTTTGGACGAATACGTCAGAACAAGGCGGTTATAATGCGTGCGTTTTCTGATGGATAAAAAAAATGTAAACATTAATTCTAATTGCTTATTTAATCAATGCAAAAACTATGAAAAAATAAATATAAAATTGTACTTGCTGCTGGTGTTGAGATTTGTAGCCACTTTCACCGATTTTTGCCGAGAAATAACTTTGTTATAATCATTTTTTTCTCTCATATCTCACCTGTTCTCGTAAACTAAATTTATCATTTTATCGGTGACCATGGTGAAATAACTAAATCACTCGAAATACAAAACACGAAACATCAAAAAACAGCGCAGATCGCACGAAAAAATCAAACTTGTTTGAACTGGTTAACTGGTTCTGACGACGTCGTGCATGTTCTGACGAATTCCTTGCTGCCAGTCTAAACACCTCATCGTCAGAACTCGCATCCACAGTAATCGTAGCTTTACGAATGAGCAGCAGAGTTTACTTTATATGATGATTTCAAGTATAATTTGGTTACATACTTAGGTTACATATGAAATAGAGATTATTTGACTTTGACCACAGAACACTTATAGTATATCTGAAAACTACATGACGTTACCAATTTCAGAATTGCCTTATGGCAAGATGCCATTTTACGAAGAAGGAAATCGTAGCGTGGACCAGTCTCTAGCAATCGCCCGTTACGTGGCTAACAAGTACAATCTTCTCCCGTCCAACCCTTGGGACCAGGCTGTTTTAGACGCTGTCGTTTTACACATTTATGATTTCTTCAGTAGTAAGTATTACTATATATTTTTTTGTTTATTATGATGTTTTCACTACCATAAAATTTACTTGTTTTTCTGTGAAAATAATACACTAGTTTGTTATTATTATTAATAAAAAGAGCAAACAAACATGCTAGTTCAGTTGATAGGGCGGTAGCCACGTTGAGGCGGCAGATATTGGTTCGAGTCCACTCGGATTGAAGGATTTTTACTTTGCGTTCATATAGAGATCAATTATATCAATAATAATAATAAGTATTATTTTTATTTGCAATATGTTCCACCAGTCAGAAATTGATTTAGTTAGTTAATGAGAATCTGTAAATGTTGGATGCTAAATAAATTGGGCACAAGTCAATGCAATAAAAAATATATACGAATATAATTTGTCGACCTTTAAAATACGAGTTTATATTTTTTTATTATATCAAATGACGTAACGAACAAGTTGTGCGCTTGGCAAACACATGAGATGCCCTGCACTGCACCCTGAAATATGAAGTTAACAAGTCCCGTATGCCTGTAGGTTTACCAGCACCTTTACCCTTCAAAACCGGAACGCAGTAATGCTCACATTACTGCTTGGCGACAGAAATATTGTAAATGGTGTCATTACTTTCCCGGATTCGTCCAGGGAGGTACTCTTTTTCACAAGCAGCTGTACTGCTCCTAAATATACCTAGTAAATCGAATTTTATTTGTTACTTTAAAAATACGAGTATATGAAGATTCATTGTAGTGTTAGGATAAACAAATTAAGTATTTAAAAAAAATGCCCTTTCAATCTTTTTTTATATAACATCAAGTGACGGGGCGAATAAGCCGTGCGCCAGGTGGTAAGCTACACGCCTGTCCATAACAGTTGCAATGCCCCTCAGAGATTTAAATTGCATAGATCTGACTACCACAGCGCCCGTCACCCTGAGACATACGTTGACAAGTCCCATGTGCCTGTAATTTCACTAGCACCCTTACCCTTCAAAACCGGAACACAGTAATGCTGACATTACTGCTTGGCGGCAGAAATAGGTAAGGTGGCAGTACTACCCCGGACGAACTCTTTCACAAGGAGCTCTACCGCTACTAATCATTAAGGCTGTTTAAAAATATTTGATTTGTAATAAAATAAAAATAAAGTTATTTTAGAATCCATCGTAATTTCATTTTTTTGAAATAAATTTTAGAGGCCTACGTTTGGTATAAAGAGCCAGATCCGGCTAGAAAGGATGCTATGAAGAAAGACATCATGGAAGTTCAAATTGATTTCTACTTCTCCAAATTTGATAAGGAGTTGAAGAAGAATAAAGGTCACTTTGGTGGCAGGGTAAGAATAAACACATAATTTAAGTACATTATGAACTGGATATTTATCTATTTATTTTTGGCTATCAACAGCGTCTTTAACATATTATTAAACTTAACATAGATAGGAACGTGTTATAAAGGTATAGAATAGAAAGTAGAATACTATTTATAACCGACTTCAAAAAAAGAAGGAGGTTCTCAATTCGACTGTGGGTTTTTTTGTATGTATGTTACGCAATAACTTCTGTACTTGTGAACCGATTTTCATGATATTTTTTTGTTGGAAAGAGGGCACCTCCACAGTGGTCCCATTTTATTTTGAAGAAAATCATTTACCTCTAAGGGTGGCTGTTCACGCATGAAAATTCATTTTTATAAATAGCGCCTTAATTTTCTAATGAGAAGCAATTATGTTAATGGTTGATTTTGCTATTCTCCTATTCAAGGCGTGATTCTCTCTCTATATACTTTGAGTAGTGAGAACCGATTTTTATTATCTCCTGTGTCAAGTCCCATATAGTGGCGAACTAGGGGATGAATCCGGGTTTGCGCACTTTCCGGTAACCGATTTTAATAAAACTTTGTAATTATATGTAATGCCACGTACTTTTGAGGTCGGTTTTTTAGTACTCTGTACTGAGATTATTGTAATAAATAAATAAATAATGAAAAAGTAGTGGCTATATTATGTTCTGACAACTTAAACTTTGGATTTTGATTTGTGATTTCAATTTAGAAAGGTTAATTAGTAAATATTGTTAGTGTTTGCTTATGACCGTTTGTGCGTTCTTTCGTGCGTGCGCGTGTGTGTAGAAGTAGGTGTGTCTTTCCCCAATTTAGAATTCTGCTTATTGAATTGTAGGCCGTTTTATTCTCTTACGTTCTTTCACACTAATCTCCATCAATTAAGGTCCAATTATCAATTTATACATTTGGATACATCGGTACACAATTGTAAATTTTGGGATTATATAAATTGTAATTGTAGCACGTAACACAAATTAAAGTTAGCAACAATATTAATGATAATATTGTATATATGATGCTACCAATTCAGAATGTAAAAAAAATTAATTGATACTAAAACTAAGTTCCCATCAATGTTTCCACTCAATCATAAATTAAATTTACAATATTATGTTATCAAAGTCACTTTAGTCAATAAAAATATTGTCCCATACCCAACATACAGTAAAAACAGTGTACAGTGGTACAAGAAAGATTACGTCATGCAGATCATTCATTGCCGCCATTGATCTACATTTGTTTGCCCGCCTGTACCTACTTTTACCTACGGAGATTACAATATTTCGTATTATTATTACTGGCCGCGCATTTGAAATCATTCTATGCTCTCCCATAATGCCTCCACAGTTCTTTTTAATTAAATTGACGGCTTACAGTACTTGTCATGTATTTTTATGTAAATTTCCAGCTCTACTGGGCCGACTTCATCCTTGTTGGCATTGTGGAAGTATCAAATCTTGCCCTTGGAATTGAAATCGAGAAGAAATACCCAGCTGTGCAAGTTCTCATTAAGGAGATCAGAAATCTGCCTGGTGTCAAAGAATACATTTCTAAAAGGAAACCTTACACTCTTTAATTGTGGACTATTTATCTACAATCTTTATTTTATTTTATCATCACACGAAGCTCTTGGCTAAAGAGCCTTCATTTCACCTTGTAGAAGCTTTTAGTGACCAGATTAAGATAGCTTATAAGTTAGCTTAATAAGCTTAGCTATCTAAAAGGAAAAGCCTCTTGTAGGGCTACGCGACTTGCGCGAGAGCAACATATAACGCGATATACGGCTATTCTCGTCTAGAGATCTCGCGTTTTATGTCGCTCTCGCGCAAGTCGCGCCTTGTCGTCCTAGCGTTACTGAGTAGGTACAATGCCCCGAAACGCGACCTTTGAATAATGTAGATAGATAAATTAAATTGTATTGTTTTTTCTTCTATCTTCTTCTTCTTGTCCTCTTGTCAGCCAACCATCACTGTTCGGCGTCCTAACTTTGATTTCCTGATACGACACGACAATAACGTCTTTCCATGATCAAAATAGCTTCATATCGGTCCTTTCTTTCCTTCGATCTTCCCTTCTATGATGCTTCTAAGAAAACTGTCGTAAAGTATCAGGTGCCCCAACTTATTTCCCCTTCGGTTCACTATTGTTTTCAATAAGCTTCTCTTGTCCTGCACTATTTTCAACACCTCATTGGTTTCTTTTTTCCGTCCAACTGATTCTTCTATATTAGGAATATAATTAGCATATTTATATTACATTACTGTATTTATATAAACGAAATGTTAATACCTGAAATCACAAAAATAAATATATTTTCATTGTTTCTATATTTGTTTTACTGCGAACAAGCTATACTTATATTAATAAGCCTGCAGTCTCCGAGCATGTTATGGATAAACCTACACATTCAATGAAGTTTCACAAACCCCAGGTCCTTGCAAAAGAAGTCCGTTATCTACCCGGATGCTGCGAGCGGCCATTGAAATTAAAAAACTTCCTAATTTCAACAGGGAAGATGGTTTCTCCGTACCACCAGTTTGGGATCCAGTATTTCCTCTAATGAAAAATCCCAGACAGACATAAGACTGCAGTACTAATTAATATGTTTTAGTTTATTCTAATTTCTATTATTAATTAATAATAGATTGAACCTAATAAAATTTCAATCGATAAAATAATTTGTAAGACTTAATGTAGCGTAAATTGAAATGTTTTCTTTGTAAAATTAAAAATAAGATATTTAATTAATAACTATTGGAACTATAGTGAAAACATAGGGTGGTTTGCATCAACATTAGACATAACTGGTTGAAGACTGTACCATCTCAGTCAACCGTGACCATGGGACCTGTAAACGGCCCGAAACGTCGGTTTGTTTGAAAAAACAAATATACGCGATTTAAATCTGGAAAAATAGTTTCATTTCCTAAGCTATACTTGTTTATCTTAAATAACGTGGTATATACAAATAATTCCCGGATTCCTGTAGCAGAATAGTGACGTCACAAAATCACGAGGCAAATAGTTGTGTCTATTAACAAATCAATAAAGATACATTATATGGTGGTATTTTAAGTGTGATTTTTACTTGTACCCATTAAATGTGTCAATCGAATTAAAAGTTAGATCGAAATAAAAATTCTATGAGTTCTTTATTCCTTGTTCAATAATAATAAATCAATCTTATTTACTATAAGTACCTTAACAAACATCTCTCTAATTAATATGGAATTTTGTTATGTTATTAATTTACATATATTATTAGAAAGGCCAAGTCAAGATTACTCTTTGGCAGGTACCACATTTAATTATTATTATATGAATTAAAAGCTTTCAACTCGCCGATTTCTGCGTAATTACGGGTATCAGTAATCAAATGCAAGATGTTCGACAGAAAAAGTCTGCTCATTCTTTGCTCTTTGACCAAGCCACTACATTTGAATTATACAATTATATTAGAATTGGAATGCGATACCTTTAATGCAAAACAATTATTAAATTATCATAATTCGTGGCGCTGGTATTAATGCGTAAAGCAAAGGGCAAAGTAACAAATTCGACCGGATATGTTAAGTCTAGACTCTGCATTGCACAGATAGGCCCCATTTAATTCAAAAGCTCTAGGCAAAATGGGCTCATTCATAATAGGGTGTGTCAGACCAGAGATGTGGAATTATTGTATCATTTGTTAGCGTACTTGGCCACCTTAAAGAAGAATTTGGTAACTCGACATAAGTGTTACTTAAAGGTAACAAGACTTTATATTTAACACACGTGTAGGTTGGTGTTTATTTTGTTTGTTTACTATGTTATTCATCAATAATCTGTATATGGTCGCAGCGTAATGACGCGTAATTTGCCTGAAAAACAATTGCGCATTTTAGCCAGGTAATGCAAAAACATGCAGTTATAATTTTTTTTAGACAAATTTTGGTTACAAAAACAGGTCTTATTTACCTACTAAACGACAAAAATCTGTAAGGGACTGGAATCTAGACTAGATCAAAAGATATGTGTCCAGGCTTCCAGGCTTCCTGACTCAAACGTTATGTATTTATTGAGATTTTTTGCGTAATAACTCCAATACTTTTGTTATTATTATGAATACCGAAAAATTTTCGTCGACCCGGTGGGACTTGAACCCGCATCCATGCTGCACCGCAGCATTGCTCTTACCAACTGAACTACGCGTCCAATTACCGAGTAGTCGAAATTATCTAAAGAAGGTTATTCGAAAATCTCTCACCAGAAGTCACTAGCGGCGACTAATGGCTGAAGCCAGTATAGAGATCTATAACAAAAACATACCTATAAGAGAATATGTATTATATTCAAATTTTTATACACAGATTAAAATATGGCTAAAGTAACAGCTGAATTCAACCGGTCCGCCCAAAGAGTTGTGTCGAATAGGCGTGTCACCACTATTTTCAGTTTAATTTCCATAGAACATAAGCATGCCTAAATAAGCTAACAGAAGTTTACTGTATAATGTTGCTTTGGGTACATATATCATATTATTTATTATTATAATATATATATGTAAGTTTATTACGTATGTATAATAAGTATGTTGATAGTATGTTATTTATTTATACCATACAAATTATCGATTAGTTTTCTAGTATATTGTTCTTCTTGTTTAAGTGTGGCACCAAACTATTGTTTTTTTTTTCTGTTTGGCCCAATGGTTGACTGGTAGAGAATGCCTTATGGCATCCGCCATTTGTACTTCAGTGTATTGTACAATAAAGTTTAAATAAATAAATAAATAAATAACAGAAGAGGTGGAGGTAGTATTCAGTGGATAAAAAAACACCAAAATACACAATTTAACCGAAAGTAACACCTCGTTGCTCAAACTACACGAGTCATTTACAAAACAGTAAGATGATTCCAGTAACATTTTAAAAATTACCGCTAAACTATTTTTCTACTGGACGAATTGATCAGCTCTGTATTTTCTACAGTCACCTTTTCTCCCTCCGACGTAACTTCATCCCGTGAAATTGTGAAAATAAATGTAATTAATTTGAAAAGTGATTTACTATTCATTCCTACGTTTCAATGACCGTATATTAACGAATGGTAACGTAAATTTGTAAAATTATATATTTTGTTTTGTCGTATTAAAAAAGAAAACTACTTCTACGTTAATTCACGTCTAATTTACGTCGTAATTATTTTGTAGTATTAAAGAGAATGGTACTTTTTATTAATTTCGAAAACCGATTACTTATCCAAAAATTATTGCATATTTGAGGCGTCATCTATAAAATTTTATTGTAATGTGTAGTTTAAACCGGTCACAGAAGTAAATGTGAATTCAATACTGATTCTTTAATACTACTTATTAGGTATAACATTCGATAATTATGAAAAATAAATAGATGTATTTAAAGAAGCTCGAAATTTGTTATTGCAAAGTCATGAAAGTTCAATTGAAATTCGGCAAAGTATGTGAATAAATTATACAATCCCACATCATGGCCGCCAGTTAACTTTGTCGTGAAGACATTGCGCGTGATATTTCGGGCAAAGCCTGCTAATAATCAATCTTTGCGAACTTTCCTGAATGTTTTAACAAAGTCTACCCGCGCCATGCTAATTGACACCATTGCATGTAAGATATTCATACAATGATTCCATATTCGAATTCAAAACGCCTTTATGCAAAATTACGCGTAAGAACAAAATTACATAAAAAAATGGAGGGATTAATATAACATTACGAGGTAGAATGCGTATTAAACGTGTAGTCTCATAAATAGTTATTTTTAAAATAACTATTGTAGAGTATGTGAATATATTAATGATTTGTCTTGAACCAGCTCGATCGCATCACATGGTACGGGCAGACAGGGAGTCAGTCTTTATTTTAAAAGAGTTTATTGTGAAAGAGTTCGTCTAGGGAAGTACTACCACCATCATGATGATCATTACTGCGTGCTGGTTTTGAAGGGTGCTGGTGAAGTTACAGGCACATGGGACTTGTCAACTTGTGTCTTAGGGTGACGGGCGCAATGGCAGTGCCCCAAATTTTTTTTAAATTCAAAGCTCTGAGTGGCACTGCGACTGCCATGGTCGCCTGACCGACTTGTTCTTCCCATCATTTAGTACCATAAAAAAAGTGCGTTCGACTGTTAGCCCGGAGGAACGTGATGGTGCGTAGGCGAGCCAAATACCAATACGTTATTACTCGTAGGAGCGAATACTACAACTATATCGACGTTTTATCCAAGTTGTTTTCTCTTTTAAATTAATAAAAGCGCAGATATTAATTAATTACAGTGGTCCGCATTCTCATTTTCACATGCTCGATGTTTTCACATAACTAAATTATCATAAAAATAAACGCATAAAAAAGGTACAACTGGAGTATAGTGAAAAAAGAAAAAAAGTAGAAAGTTTGAAGTGAGATAACCCTGATTTAAACAAAAAAGCGTGGCTTGACATAATAATATTACAAAAAATAAGAAAAATATTGGTATTTTAAAAATAGCTTTTATATTTAATAATGCTTATTATAATTACCCTTTTGTACACCTTTTCTAATATTCATTTAGCTTTTATTACACAATAGTATCAGCTTTCACTGTGTTCGTTACCGTGGTCTCCGTAACGATTAACTGATACGCGGAACGGAAGACCTCGTTAAATGAATCATGTGAGCCCAAACACAAGGCAGCTGGTGTAAATTGTCCAGGAGTTCCTTTCATCGGTCTGCCATTCCTCTCTAGGTCACTTGCTTTTATTTTAATTGGAATTACGTCGATGCGCCATGTTTTATTGAAATCGGTTTACGAAAAGTGGGTGAAATTGAATAAACCGGATTCATCCCATTCAAATTTTAATGTCACTACCAGGGTTCCATCGCTCGGTCAAGATTATACAAGACTTACATTTATGAGCATTCGGCTCCGTACGACTGCACACAGCGAGCAACGTTATTTGCAACTTTTTGAGCGCGTGCTTAGGGTTCGGTTTCGTAGTAGTGAGCATCTGGTATTTTAGATATTTAGATATATTAGATTTTGTATTAGAATGATTCATCTGTTACGTAGTAACTGTTAAGTAATCCGTGCCACTACGGAGTGACCTTGCCTTTTGAAGACGATAAAAAATAAAACTGATTGTAGCTAAAAAACAAATACCTTATGATGCATGATAAAGCAAAATGCCATAGCAATAAAACACAGGCGCTATCTACAGTAATACACTATACTAATACACTGCAATGTCAATATCACCATTTTGATTTCCACTTTTTATTCTGCCCAGTTCTTAACATAAAAAGATACTTTTAACTTAGTTTTCACGATCGATTATAAATAAATATATCCAGCCAATCTAATCATATAATAACTAATTATTGTAGTAAAAAGCTATTAGATTTATTTTGTGGTGACGACAACCGAAAGATTCTAGATGTAATAAAAGTATAATCACAATGACTTGCGATGTTTTGGTTTCACACAATAGTATAAACAAATGCCATTACAAGTCTAGTGCTGGGCCCGAAGTCACATTCACAGTGAGTAGAGCCTTCATGCTTACTTTCAGGTCTAGAGGTTTTTACGTAGTATATGCCTGTATTCAACGTCTTCCGATTGTCAAAGATGAGCTTTTGTCAAGTCCTTTTCACCTGAGAAAGATTTATGAAGAGCTCGTCGCTAACGTCAATAAATCACTGATAGGGCGAATATTCTTCACAGATAACTCTGTAGCTATATTGATCGTTAACTTAGATTATATGTAATCCAGCGGCAAAATCGAACAGGAAGTCTTTACGAGGGTAGTTCGCTTTTTCAGCTTGCATATCAAATTCTGTCAAGGCCCTTGGTGAAATAAACCACCAAGGGCTTTGACAGAAGGCCACGGTAACGGATAGGCTGGTATCGCAGTTGCCTTATTCCGCAGGTCCCACCTGCGTGTCTCCAGTAGATTGCTCTCTAGGATCTTAACTGAAAATCAGTGCTGGGACCTTCGTGATGGAGTGGTTTGCACACCGGTTTTCATGGTGTCGCCATCTCTGATTTCGATTCCGGGTTCGAACCCCAGCCGGGTCAATGCAGAAAACGAACTCTTCTATATTGTCTCGGGTCTAGGTGTTTGTGGTACAGAGCAAGGCATGTGATGTTATCTAATGTTTAAAAAAAACTGAAAATCCCTAGTGAAAATTTATCCTAAATACCGGACCAGTCACAATTATACAAACATTTGTGATAGCAAGGCTGTGTGTTAACATCATAATAGACAAATAACGTCATTATTAACATACAATGTTTAGATAAAAAAAAGCACGTATTGGCTGATCAATATTATAATAAACTTATGACAACCATATCCTGTTAGTTAATCGTTAAATATTTTTTTGAGCATCTAACGCAAAAAGTTTTAAGTTTGAAGCCTTTGTATGTGTGTCTGTGTGAATATTGCATCGTAACTCTCAAAAAAGATCAGAAACTGAGATCAGGTCATTGTAACAGATGAACTGATCTCAAAGTTTAAAAAAAAAATTATACGAAGGCCAATTTAATCGATACCCATGGTTCATAGCTCTGTTTGATGAACATCTGGGTCTCTAGCTTGCAAATTTTAAATCATCTCAGTTGTATGTCGATAGAGTATCATTGGTTGGGTTGTGTACGTGACTAGCACGTACACATCGAACTACTATTCTTTTTTTTTATAGTACTAAGTAACGGGACAAACAAGTCGTGTGCCCGGTTGGTACGCGACACGCCTGTCAGTTGCAGTGTCAGAGCTTGAAATCACAAATATCTGAGGGGTACTGCCACTGCATCATACACCCTGAGATATAAGTTGACAAGAGCCATGTGTGTGCCTGTAATTTCACAGCACCCTTCGAAATTGGAACGCAGTAATGTTCACATGATGGCTTAGCGGCAGAAATAGGTAAGGTGGCGGTTATTGCCATGTTTCCTTGTACGAACTCTTTGACAAGGAGCTCTGGTGCTATTAAAATTCAACAGAAACAAACAAACACACACACTGATACACACACACACACAAACATACAAAGTTTGGTGTCATATTTATCTGTCACAAAATAAAAATCTTTGTTAAATTTATCACTAGCATCTCATGATGAGATGTGATGATGAGGTCAACGATGTAGTACCCATACGTAAATAATGTCCATTCCCTCTCGCGTTATTTAGCAGTAAGGCTGCCTGTTGTATATTACTGCACAGTAATGTCGGATTTCACCATATTTAACAAATATTATTTCATTGCAAAGAGTATTATCTCAAGTATGAGTGGTACGATGTAATTCTAAATAAAGTTATCCAATAACAAAACACAGTTTTATCGAATCAAAACACAAGTAGGTATTAGCAAGGTCACGCGGCATACTTAAATTTCAACTCTATTGGACCATGACAAATACGTGTAATACTACATATTTATCATTCGGTCAAGCAGACATACCAACCTAAAAATAGTTTGATTAGTCGTCATTTACGCAATTTTAAACCTTATTTTCGTACCGGTAGAAGTTACCAATTCCATTAAAGATACCGGTAGTTGAGTGAACGGATAAAAAACAGAATCATTTATACAACCGGCGGCATTGTGAATTGGGAACTCGCAGCGTGCAGTATGGCTCAGAAACTACATTATTTCAATATTAACGGCCTTGCCGAGTCCATTAGGTACATTTTGTACTATTCCGGACAGAAGTTCGAAGACGTCCGTTATGAAAGGAAGGATTGGCCTATCAAAGAAGTTAAAGAAAGTAAGTAAATCAGTAACTTTTTTTTTCTATGATTACTTTCTTCAGTTACCTGTCTACTACGTAATGGACAAAACAACAGCTAATGAATTGCATTCGGTATAACAGAAACAAATGACTGCGAGTTTGATAGTTTTAATACACTACAATGTTGTGTATCTCTTTCGGTTACGTAGTTACTTCCTTATGCTTGTTTTTTTCTAGGTATTCTGTTATGCTAATTACTGAATCATGGAAAATTGCTACATAATGTCAAAGTAGGGTGGAATTAAAATGCATTAAAAAAAATCTCACAATGACGACGATGTTGAAGTACCTGTTCAAACGACATTCTTTTTTGTTGTGCCGATCGGTCGATTCATGTAATCATTCATAGTGTCTATTTTTTTTTTCCCTTTTTTGGGTTTATTGTTTTTCATATTTGGAAATCCGGGTAGAAATTTGTATATTAATACTTTTATAATAGCCGGAATAGCCCGAGATATGTATTTATATACAGTTTTTGGTCGTTTTATATATAAAATTTTTTTCTTGAAAGTCGTAAAACAAAAGTTATTCGATTGAAATACACATTAGGTTCTTGAATTTGACCGGTTGTTTTTAACCGACTTGCAAAAAAAAAGCAGAGAACCTCAGCCAATACCAATTCGACTTTTTTTGTATGTATATTAATGTTTGAGTTATCGACTCCGGATAATTTGAGAGCCGATTTTGATGATTCTTTTTTGTTGGAAAGAAGGTACTTCAATGTAGGCCCATTTAAATTTGAAGGAAATATTCCACCTCTAAGTGTAGCAGAGTAGGGTATTAATCGGTTTCGCGCACTTCCTGGTAACTGAATACAAAAAAACTTGGCAAATAAATATAATTCCATTAACTCTTGAAGTCGGTTTTTAGTACTCTCTACTGAAATTGTTAATCTCTTTAATTGTGTACTAATCGAACTCCAAACTTATGTATGAATTTTCATTGTTTGGGTATAAATAAGTACTCTCTAATATTCCGAAATTTTTCCTTATCTCTATCTTGGAACAAATGTTCTTGAACACAAATTATACGATAAGAACATTTCATATGAAACTTATGACTTTCCCAATTCTAGGGCTACCTTACGGTCAGCTACCTTTCTATGAAGAAGGCAATCGCACCCTGAACCAGTCACTAGCAATAGCCCGTTACGTGGCCAGCAAGTCCGACCTTCTGCCCTCTGACCCTTGGGATCAAGCTGTCTTGGACGCTGCTGTCTTGAATGTGTATGACTTCTTCAATAGTAAGTGCTATTTTAGCTTTATCTTCTTTCGTTGATCTTTTTAGATAATGTGAATTTTAATGTTTATGGAAATAATCAATATATTCGGTTGAATAGTTTTGCATGCTTGTTTTGGCTACATATCGTTTCAAGAATAAACAATTTAATATTAGAAACAAATTTCTACAAAATATCAAGCATTATTTTTCGTTTGCAATTATGTTACTTAGTTAAAATTGAAATTTGTCATTTAAATTCAAATGTTTGGCATTTTCATATTCAAACAAGAGGTTACTCCAATAAAGTTTGTATGAATTGCAGATGCTAGACCTTGGTTCAAAGAAGAAGACCCGGATAAAAAGGAAGCTATAAAGAAGACCTTCCTGGGAGAAACAGTTGATTTCCACCTTTCCAGGTTCGAAAAGGAACTAAAGAAGAATAATGGATACTTTGGCAAAAAGGTAAGAAGAATCCGTTTTCTTTATTATGTCTTTATAGTTGGGACAAATGAACGCAGGTAATAATTTAATGAGACTCCTGATATGTGATACACTACCTTATTTTACCAGTTCTTAGGTATACTCGATTGCTACACCTTGAAAATGAGACTGTTTATTCCGATCAAAAATCGCATACATTTTGTTTTTCAAAGAAACCAACGTTTCGGTTTCCTACAGGTCTCATTTTCATGTCTAATATTAATTAATACTGTACTAACTCAAAATTGTGGTACTGAGAAAATACATTTTTGAAAAAAAAAAAATACACACACTCAACATAGCCCCGTACTAGGGAAACCCTGTGTCGCGGGTGCCATGGACACACATATAGACAACCACAAATTGCAACCAAACTCACGAGAGAAATAAATGTAGGCCATACAAATATTTATCCCAGTCTGGGAATCGAACCCGGGACCTCTGCATGGCAGTCCGGCATGGTAACCGTTCGGCTACGGAGGCAGTTACATAATATTTAATTAGACATTTATAAACGAGAATACATAATTATATTGGTACTGATTTTTTTTATTATTTTCGAGTCGAGTACGACAGTATTTGGTTTCTTGTGCGACTTATTAAATTAATTAATAAAAAGGAAATTGTTGCAAGTTATATTATTTATTATACATCCCAAAAATTTGTTTCATTTTTAATGTGTAACAAAATCTAAGAACTCAATAATAATTATGTTTAGGAAATGAAACTATTTTTCCGGATTTAAATCGCGTATATTTGTTTTTTCAAACAAACCGACGTTTCGGGTACTTTATAGTCCTATGGTCACGGTTGACTGAGGTGGTACAGTCTTCAACCAGTTATGTCTAATATTGATGCAAACCACCCTATTTTTTCACTATAGTTACAATAGTTATTAATTAAATACCTTATTTTTAATTTTACAAAGAAAACATTCCAATTTACGTTACATTAAGTTTTACAAATTATTTTATCGAATGAATTTTTATTAAGTTCAATTTATTATTAATTTATAATAGAAATTAAAATAAACTAAAAGATATTAATTAAAACTGCAGTCTTATGTCTGTTTGGGATATTTCATTAGAGGAATTACTGGATCCCAAACTGGTGGTACGGAGAAACCATCTTCCCTGTTGAAATTAGGATGTTTTTTAATTTCAATGGCCTCTCCTGGGTAGATAACGCACTTCTTTTGCAAGGACCTGGGGTTTGTCAAACTTCATTGAATGTGTAGGTTTATCCATTACATGATCGCAGACTGCAGACTTATTTACGCGACGGTGTTCGACATCAGCTATATGTTCTTTGACGCGGGTTTTCTTTCGAAATACAGTATGGCCTAAGGTGTTATTAGGATTTCTTTTAATTAAAACATCTAAGAAAGCTAAAGTACCACAATTCTCTTGTTCCAATTGCGATTTAAATCCGGAAAAATAGTTGCATTTCCTATGTGTAACAATCGCGAAAACCTAAGAACTCGATGAATAATTATGATGTTATATACGTTATCAACATTAAAGGTGCGTCTTAACCCACCGTTGGGTATTGTGGCCCCTTGATGTTTGTGCTTATGATGTCTATGCTATTTTGTGCAGGAGTAGCTAAATAGAACAACGTTTGGTTAGTTTACGTGCGCGTGCGATCCGTCCGCGTCCGCGTCCGCTCACACCGATATCTACCGTCGTAATTGAGGGAGCGAGCGGGTCGCAGCGTAACTTTATTTTCTATACAACACATTACCATTTACTACGATCCTAGGCAATTTTCATCTATAGTCGCAATATTCACGATATCGTCTCCTCATCTCACTGCCACCCTTTTGATAATTACTTCCTGGTCACCATTCGGTTGTCGCGTTACTTCGTCTGTCAATACCACGTCTAGCAACATCATAGTTTTACAAACTAGATATTGTAATACTGTGGTAATGTGTTAGGTTAGCAATATTAGCTTCCAAAATATTGAGTTTGTTATAATAATTTTGTTTTATTTTTATGAAATTCGTCTGGTCTTCTGATCTGAAAGACAATTAAACAGAACGTGGTCCAAAATGATTTTTTTTTTAATATTTATTTATTTAGGCGCTTTGATCGTTATTCAACATGTCAGCTCCATTAGAAAAACAATACTTCAAGAAAACACTTAATAAAATCCAGACATACAAATCAAAATACTACTTAACCAAACATTTATTCAAAATCTCCGCGGCACTACATGTTGGCTCCGACAAAACAGATTGAAGCCACCCAACATTAAATGTACGAAAACCAGCCTGTGCAAATAACCGCGCCCTAATAGGTTCGTCCGAACACACTCCATGAGCAAATGATATACATCCTCAGGAATTTCATACACGTCGCAATTCGGTGAGTTCATCCTTTGCATCAAATACGAAAATGTGTTTAATGGAACGTGGCTGGATGGAAGCCTAAGCGCGCTGACAATTTGACCCCTGCTTAACTTAACATAGTCACACCAAGGGACACGAGGAGGCTCACAGTGCATGATCTTGTACCAGATTCCTTTTTCCAGGGCCATGAGACTCAAAATATGACTTAAAAAGAGAACTATACTATTTCATATTTTTGCTAAGACATTTAACTTGCATTATCTCACAGTGAAGCATTCCAAACATAAATGGCAGAGTTGAGTTCTTTATCAATGATGATACCAATGGTTGTTTATTCATGAGTCAAGATACTTTATTAAGTACTAAGATATAGCTAAAGAATCACACGTATAGGTGACAGATATGTATATTGAGGTAAATGTATTTTATTTACATACATAGAACAAAACGCCTGTCCTCGAAGTACTAATATTGCAAGAAGTCTCTTTAAAAAATTAATGTGTATTTAAGATAAGTAAATAAAACTAAAAAAGTCATTTTTGTCGGTGCTGTTCGATGGCCTGGAAGTAGTTTATGTTATGTAAATGGCTGTGAATATCAATTAATTCCTGAAATATAAGAAGTCACTTTTGTCCTTGTAAAGTTATTCAAATATTGACCATGCATGAACTAAAATTATTTTCCGAACTTTCACAAACATGTAGATCAATAGATGGCATTGTGTGTTACAAACTAATTTATAAATTAGCGCTTCCTAATATGGATAGATGGCGCTAATCCTAAAGAAAATAAAAGAATAGCCCATATTATCCATAAATGTCTGTGCAATAAACGCCATCTAGTTGATTTGTTTGTTATCACTAGAAATTCAAGTAGCTTTGATAAGTTACAACTTGTCAATATAAAACAAATTAGTTACAAAAATTACTACTTGATACTCGTCGCGACATACTACTAGCTACCGGCCGTAAATACAGAGTCGTGACAGATGTCGTCACACCGCGTCGAACGGAACCACCGGTCCACGTATCCTGCACAGTTACTAGTTGAGAGACCAATAGTTGTACGCTGTCTTGTATCGCGATTACACCCAATAACTCAAGAGAATTACTGAGTTATTGGTTCGTGGTTTTATGCAAATGTTATTTTAAATTTAGTCTAATAGGCGCCGTGTCGTCGAGTTGCGGACACCAGCCCGTCACACCAAGTACCAAGTACCAAATTTAGTTTAAGTTAAAAGTGTGTGTTAGAGAAAGGCGGAACCCCCTGATACAAAAGCATGAAATATTTAAGTAATAGGTTGGTCACAAACTTTCGGTTTTTTTCAATGAATGTAATTTAAATAAACATTTTGTTTGTTAATCTTTAACAGTCATGAGATACCGCTTCACTGGTTCCTCGTCAGTATTACCCCGTTCCTTCTGCATACAGCTACGTAGTAAACAAAAGAAAGATGTTTAAGCTTACTACGTGTCTATTATCGATAACTGTACTTGCGACACTATTCGCGTTTATTAATATTCTTCATATGTTATTTTCAGCTCTCCTGGGCCGACTTCGTCTTGGTTGCCATTATTGAAGTGATCAACCTCTTGTTTGATGCCGAAATCGAGAAGAATTACCCTACTATAAAGGCCCTTGTTCAGAAGGTCAGGAATCTGCCTGGAGTAAAAGAATACATTGCTAAAAGGCCTACTTACCAGTTCTAATTATGAACTAATTAATTGTTGTTGTTATTAAATATATTTTAATCTGTGCTACGGTAGTTTTAATTTGCCTTGAGGCTGCGTTTGAAGTGTCTAATTATCTAATTATATTTATTAATGTAAATGAAATAATAACAAAACAGCACCAGAAATAATGCATATATAGTAATAATAATATTAGCCATCCTACATGATGAGGATCTCGTGAAAACCGAAACCGAGAAACGTCTTAGAAGAATCTCGATCTAGCGCACGAGATCGCCGACATGTGAGATTTAGACACTTAAAAATCCCAATTGTTTTGTCTGTAAACTGGATCAGTATCAGTTTGTGTAAGGATAGCGCTGCATATTCGCCGACAGTGTGCGCTTGCACGTAGAGATGCCGAGGGATCCCTATGTTTATGTCACAAGTAATAATAAGATTTTTATGTTCATCTAATATATTTTAATATATCGACTGTGAACTGGCAATCGGCACTGTAACGGACTGTATGAGTGGGTTAAAGTTTGGATGCAACAACGAGTGAGCAAGGCCAAGAGAATGTACTTATGCTTTATTAATAATTTACTAGAAAACATGTCGCTATCAAAGCAAAACAACAAACACACTAGCTAAAGTCAAGAAAAGGCGCCAAAAACAATCACCCTTAAATTTAGAATTTAAGTATAAAAGTAAAACTTAAAGAGACTATAAAATATATACAAAAGAGATTTGTAGCGACTGTTGCGATTCGCTACAGATAACATCTAAATTTTGTAAAGACTTCACTTTTTAATACCATTTTATACTATTTTCATACTCCGCAGCGTTGCAATAAATTACATTACAGATACATTTAATTTGGACGCCAGAAACGACTTCTTTTAACTTGTGCTAACTTCTATCCAGATTCTATACAAATGACGCAAACAATTGTTTTTTTCATTCAATAAAATTGTCAAAATTGAGGTAGTACCGGTTGCCAGTTCGCAGTCGATATGTTTATTTATGTATATTTCAAACCGGAACACAGTAATGCTCACATTACATCCTGGCGGCAGAAATAGGTAAAGTGGCAGTACTTCCCTGGACCGAACTATTTCACAAGTTCTACTGCTACTAAACTCACTTCCATGTTTTATATATCAATTTAGCACTATGCACATGACATTATTTTTTATTGTGACGAACTGTACATTTATGGAAACATAGTCTTTATTGCATTTATTGAGATTTTTTTTGTGAAATATTTCCTCTACTTTTGTTATGATTATGAATACAAAGATCGAACACAGAAAAATTTCGTCCACCCGAAGAGACTGGAACCCACGTCCATGCTGCACCGTAGCATTGCTCTTACCAACTGAGCTACGGATGCAGTTACCGAGTCGTCAAAATTCTCCTATGTGTTCTTGTTAAAGATCTTTGTACTGACTTTTCGTCGCCGCTATTGAGATCTAGTGAGAGATTTTTGAATAACAAAAAAAAGAAAATAGTTCTATCTGTATGCATTATGGACTAAACTGTCTGGAAATAAATGTTTGGAATTTGCCAAAACTTAACAGGTTTATTCCCGTCACATGAGCTGTTCAAGTTTTCTCATCAACTTTTATGTCGAATAAAGCTTGAACTTTAGTGAACACGTAGATATCTTTCTATGCATTTAAGTCGTATAGAAACCTGGCTAACACAATACATGTTCGTTTTGAAATACACAACAGGTTTTTAAGATGTACCTGTTTGTTTTTTACTCTTTATAATTATATACTGATCGAATTACAAACCTACTTAGACTTTTATTATTCCGAGCACAGAAAAATAATCTTGATTATGCAGAAACGTTACCTCTTTAGATCTTTCTGGCGTAACGTTCACGTATTACAGGACAAATAGATTTGAAACTTTATGATTTTGATTGCAATTTAAGACAACAATCTACGTATATGTTTCAACTGTTGTGAAGATACTGGCCGTACAAGTGTACCGAGGCCAGTATCTTTACAACAGGCGTGGAGATAAAAGGATCCACAAACCCTAATAGTCCCATCCATGTTATGTAGTGGGAACATGAGTACTAAAAATCCTACTCAACCCACTAGTGGAACCAAGAATGCGCCTCACTTATACGAAAACTAAATAATTTCAAAATAGATTAGAATAGAATCATCTATTTCATATTATCAATTTCATAACATGACAATTCGAAATATAATGTCATTAGACGATCATGTTATCACATTAGAACATAATAATAAATATAAAATAAAATAATTAAAAGAGAAATAAAAAAAATACGAACTACAAAAATACAAATAAAAAATCAAATATTTTCAAAATACAAACGTCCAAAATATAATTACAATTTCTTTAAAAGAAATTTCTCTACACTGTAGAATTCATTATACAATAAAAGGTCTTTCATATCAATACCAACCAACCAATTCCAACCAATTTCACTTCCTATAATTTAACTTCTTATAATTCTTGTTTGATTATAACCTTCACATTTTATTTAAAAAAAATCTTATAAAGCTCATATTATATTACAATCATTTCATACATTGTCAATTTAGATAATTTTTGCGTGGTCTATTAACGCTTTACATAAATAATAAGTTTAAACCCGACTCGCCACGACATTTGTCTGTTCGATACTGGGAGGAGCATCCGACACGAGGAGTGTAATTTAAAAGCCTGAGATATGGAGGGAGAATTGTTTTTCTTAATATAGTTTACAATGCTGAAGTTTCATTTTGACAAAATTATTATAGTTAGACACTGGATTCCTTGGTGATTTAAATAAAACAAACGTATTTTTCATAGGCCAAATCTTGGTTGCAGTTCCCATTTAGTAGGTTAGGTTAGAACATGAAAAAGCAGCAGCAGCCGAGCGAGCGGACCAAGCGGAGTGAGCGTAGCGAGCGTGCCGAGGCAGCGGCCGGCGAGTGCCAGAAACAAAATGTTTTGAAGTCAAATTATAATTAATAAAATTAGTATTAGGGATACCGTTTTTCGGAAATAACCATATTTCTAGATGAAGTGAAATTTACTAATTAATTAAGTTATGTTTATAGGTTATTATCCTTATTAAAAATGGGTGTTAGTGTTAGGGATCGCTATAAAAAATGAAATTATAGAATGTAAGTTTATATCAAACGTTCGTTATATAAATTGAATTACTATATTAAATGAGTTTATAGGAAGTAAAATTATAACAACTTAGCATTATGTGAATAATATTTATATGATAAATTACATACCCTGCAACCAAGAGTGGAACCAATAGTCCGAAATAGGACTTGGTACCATATCTTTCAATAAAGAAGGAAATCGTTATCTGAACCAGTCACTAGCAATCGGTCGTTACGTGGCCAGTAAATGCAACCTACTGCCTTCTGACCGATGGGATCAATTAGTCATGGACACCGCTGTCTTGAATGTATATGACTTCTTCATTAGTAAGTGCTATTTCAGTTTTTTTTTTCGTTGCACTTCAAGATCATATTGTCCCTGGCAAGGCGAAATTACTAACCTCCAAAAAGGCCAAAAAGGCGCTTTAGTACTTTCGCCTTTCCAGTGACGGAAACTTACTTCCGGGGTGCTCATTATTTTTCTTTTACAAATTATTGAAAGGAAATAAAGGAAAATGGCATTCAACCAGTAACCAAAAATTAACTGCCTCATTGGCCGGACGGTTACCATGCTTGTCTGCCAAGCAGAGGTACCGGGTTCGATCCCCGGATCAGGAGAAATATTGTACTATGGCGTACACTTATTTCTCCCGGGAGTTTGGGTGTAATTTGTGGTTATCTATGTGATGTTCATGTCATCCACGACATAGGGTTTCCCTAGTGGGAGACTATGAGTGTGTTTTATTAAATAAGAAATTGCAGCTCGATAATTCGGAAAATGTCATAAAAAAATATAAAAACCATTTAGATTTATTTCTAATTATCCAAGTATTTGAAGCCTCTGCAAATAATCATATGGATTAATTTTACTTGTGTATTTAACTCTAACAAACAACTAAAATATACAATTGGAAGTCGTTGATACGTGGCATCCAATAAATTGATTAAAAATTCAAAATATTATCATAAGAAAAAACCATACGAAAAATCTACAAGAATTTTAAATATTACTTATCGTGTTTTCTTTGTAGTAACATGGTTTGTCCTTGTTAAGTTTTATATTAGTTAGGCTACGATTGCTTTGTTAATTAATATTAGTAACGTAGAAGAATGTATCGTTATATTAATTTTGTTACATAATAATAATTGTGTTGTAACCTTCATTACCATCATCCACAGTCCGTCTTCATCCACTTCTGGTCACCATGGTCCTGAGCTAGTCTTATTCATCTACGATCCGCAATTACAACGATAGCGTCTTCACATCTCATTGCACCTTGCTGTAACAGCTACCTGGCCTCCATTTGCTTGTTGTATTATATCATTTGTCATTACCACCTTTCAATATACGTGGGGCGTACTATATGTTTCCGGAATGAATAAGAAAAAATTAATATAAATGGTCAGAAATGAATTTATTGTTTCTCAAAATATTCTCCGTTAGCGTTAATGCACTTTTTCATACAAATGAATCAATTTTGAAAACATTTATGCCACTCCTCCGTGCCAATCTCTGAAACATATTTTTCATATTCTTCGACAGCCTCTTCAGGCGATGAAAATCGTCGACCGCGTAACTGGTTCTTAATTTTTGGAAATAAATAAAAGTCACAAGAAGCCAGGTCGGGACTGTACGCGGGATGGCTCATAAAGCCAACGTTGTTCACCTTCAAAAATTCATTTTTCTGGTCTGGTCGTGTGAGAACTGGCATTATCGTGGTGCAAGATGTTACGGCGTTTACGGTTATTTTTACGGAGTTTGTCAATAACTTCCGGCAAACAAATGCTCGTATAACAATCATTATTCACGGTTCAGTTTTATTAAAAAAAGAAGCAGGAAAGTGTGCGAAATCTGATTCATCCCCTAGTTTAACACCCTTAGAGGTGGAATATTTTTTTGAAATTTAAATGGAAACATTACTGAGTAACCTTCTTTTTAAAAAAAATCATCAATCGGTTCACAAAGTTATCGCGTCGTATGTTACGCGTATAACTTCGGCATTTGTTACAAAAAAACATGCAGTCGAATTGAGAACATCCTCCTTTTTTTGCAGTCGGTTAAAAATGTTCACATTTGTCGTAATAATTTAATTTTTTTTGTATAATTCGTCTGGTCTTCAGATCTGAAAAGCCGAATTTAAATAGTACCTGGTCCAAATTTGTTTGAGATGCAAAACATGACTTTTCTTAAATAAAAATTACTTCAAAGTGTACGTATCATTTAGTATGTAAATGACCACACCTTAGTTTAATGCATATTTTATGTTTAAGTTAAGTTTATTATAAGGTAGTAAGAGTATCGAAAAGAAAGGCGGAGCCACCGTGCTACAAGAACTTGAATTATTTAAATAAAATGATAGCATACTGAAGGTTTCTTTGACGATTGTAATTTACACAAACATTTTGTTTGTTAAATCCTTAATACTGCCCGGATTGAAAGAATTTACTTTGCTAAAAGGCTTTTTTAATAGTTCTAATTTTGATCTTATTGATTGTTGACATTCATGAATACATTTTAATTTGTGCTATAGAAGTGTCACTTTATCTTGAGTTTCACGTTTCACTTTATATTAACGTATACTAAAAAAATAACGTATACGTTACACTAGAAACAAATATCAAAACAGCACCAAATAATAACGTATCTATTATTATCTTATTACTAATAATAATGGTGAAAGACAGCCACAATAATTACTCTCTCTCAAAGTAGGAAATTTCCTTGTATGGATAATATTCCGAAAACCCAGAGGCCAGTTCAGAAAAGTTCATTGCGCAATTTTGCGGGACAACATGTTATACCTTACCGCCCTGAAGATAATTTGATTAGTCTCATTTACGCAATTTCAAACTTTATATTCATACAAGTAGGAAATGTTACACACACCACTTTAGGTGTGTGCGATAGTAAAATAATAAAAAAGAGAACGACTCTTACAACTGGCATTGTGATTTGTGAACTCGCAGCGTGTAATATGGCTCAGAAACTACATTATTTCAATACTCATGGGCTCGCCGAGTCCATTAGGTACATTTTGCACTATTCCGAACAAAAGTTTGAAGACATTCGTTATGAAATGAAGAATTGGCCTATCAAGGAAGTTAAGGAGAGTAAGTAAATCACTCATTCCTTTTTTTTCATTGATTACATTATAAAATTTCATGTGTTTTACGTAATGAACAAAAACAATAACTATAGATACAGTAATCAACGGTTGCACTTAATATAACAGAAACAAATAAGTTTAAAAAAAGAATATTATTAGTCCCTTATGGCCATCATTAACGTAACGTAGTCACTCCTATAAGCTTTTTTTTTTATTCTGTTTTAACTCATTACTGCATCAGTCAAAATAGGGTGCTGTGAAATTAAATCGTATTAAAAAACACACCGACGACGACAATGTTTAAGTATCTAATAGCACTATGCAGATGATATACTTTTCTGTTGTGTCGAATTGTAAATAATCGTATTTTAAATTTTTATTGAATTGATATTCAACTATTTTTTGTGAAATTGCTCCACTAGTTTGTTATAATTATTGACAAAGATCGAACGTTCAGAAAAATCAAGCGTGTCAGACGCTATACCAACTAAACCACGGAACGAGCCAGCGGACCTCACGAATTTTTCTATGTGCTTGTTGGCGTGTCTTTGTATTTGGTTTTTCAATGACTTTTTAGTCGTAGCGCCATCTATGAGAAATCTATGAAAGTTTTATCACCCAGTTAGATACAGCTACCGGCCCTGGCGAGAGATGTCGCTATTCACTGGATTTTAATTTTTAATTGAATTGATATTAAATTATTTTTTGTTAAATTACTCCACTAGTTTGTTACAATTATTAATTCAAAGATCGAACACTCAGAAAAAATTCCTTCGATTCGGCCGGATTCGAACCGACGTCTTAATAACTACATAGATAATAACCGTATTGTTTACTTATTTCGGTTGTTTTGTAATTCATATTAGGAAATCTTAATAGAATTCTCTATAGCATTATTGGCTACACCCATCGCAGAATAAATGGTTCGAATTTGAAGTTGAAATTGGCGCCGAAAATAGGGGGCTTATTTCGGACAATAAGCATTTCAACTTTTCACATAAATTTTTGTGTCGAATAAAGCTTGAACATTAGTGAATACGTAGGTATTTTTTATGCAATGATTTTTATGCTCATACAATTTTTGGTCTTCGTTTACAGAAAAAACAAAAAAATATTTATTATTGAGTGTAAAACTCAATAATAAATATTTTTTTGTTTTTTCTGTTTGTTTTTTTCCCTGTATAACTTTTTATGAACTAATTCAGTTACAAAATATGTATGGACCACGGAAGAAAGAAAAGAATGTTTATGTGGTCTGTGGTATGGACTTTTAATTGCACCGGGCACAAGAAAGTACCTTTGAAAGTCCCGAAAATTCACCTTGTTATTTCTTTCGTGGAACAAACGTTCTTGAACACGTATTAAAGGACAATTTCATATGAAACTTTATGAAGTTCCCAATTCTAGGATTACCATACGGTCAACTACCTTTCTATGAAGAAGGAAATCGTTCACTGAACCAGTCACTAGCAATCGCCCGTTACTTGGCCAGCAAGTGCGATCTTGTGCCTTCTGACCCATGGGATCAAGCTATCTTGGACGCGGCTGTCATGAATGTATATGACTTCTTCCTTAGTAAGTGCTATTTCAGCTTTCTTCCATTGAAAGATCACACGGGAAGTGTAAATTTAATTTTTATGGAATTAATAAATTTTATTCGCTTGGATCTTATTAAGAGACTATGAATAGATTTAATAATAATAACGCACACACTCAACATAGCCCCGCACTAGCCCGAAACTCTGTGTCACGGGTGCCACGGATACACACATAGACAACCACAAATTACACCCAAACTCACGAGAGAAATAAATGTAGGCTATACACATATTTCTCCCGGCCCAGGAATCGAACCAAGGACCTTGCATAGGTAATGGTAACCGTTCGGTCACGGAGGCAGCGTTTATGTTATTTGTTCTGTTATTATATGTTGTTAAGTTATTATATCTTACGTTATTAACTTCAAATTTTATTTATTTTATTTTAATTACCTCCGTTACTAGACTGGACTGCCACGCAGAGGTCCCGAGTTCAATTCCCAGGTTGGGAGAAATGTATGGCCTACATTTACTTCTTTCGTGAGTTTAGGTCTAATTTGTGATTGTCTATGTGTGTTATAAAAGTATTGAATTTTACATTGATATTCATTATCTGTTTGATATGCTCAATGGTTAATAGAGCTGTTAAAAAAATCAAAGTTACTTTACAAGAGGTTACTACAATAACGTTGGTATGAATTTCAGTTGCCCGGCCTTGGTTCAGAGTACAAGATCCGGAAAAAAAGGAAGCTATAAAGAAGAAATTCCTGGGAGAATCAGCTGAATTCTACCTTTCCAGGTTCGAAAAGGAACTAAAGAACAACAACGGATACTTTTGTCGAAAGGTAAGAGGAAGCCAATTCAATGGTTTTGTTGTCTTCATTATTATTTTTCTATGAAATGATTCTAAGTAAAAACAAATGGGACACCCGAAATAACTAGTGATGTAGTCGATATAATCGATTGAAAACAATAGACATCTAAAATATTCTGTAATTTTTTTGAGTTTTTGCATATCCTACGCCTTTATAAATAATAATAACGTACACATTCCTAGCCCCGCACTAGGGAAACCATATATCGCGGGTGCCATGGACACACACATAGACAAGCACAAATTCCAAGGTAGACCAGCATGGTAACCGTTCGGCCACGGAGGCAGTATCATTTATTTAGCAATTTCACACACAATTGTTATTATATAACCAAATGAATGTAGCTATTCATAACGTTACGTTGCTAATATTAATCAACAAAGCGACCGTAACGAAATCGATATAACACTTGACAAGGACAATTATGTAACTACAAAGAAAATACAATAAGTAATATTTTAAACTCGATGCAGATTTTTAATTTGGTTATTTGCAGTAAAATAAAATTAAAACATATTTTCATTTGCAAAGTCTCAAAAGAATTTGAATAATTTTCAATGAAAGTGACTAAACAAAATTTTTCTAAATATTATTTTTTTGGTTCCCCTAGTGCAGGACTACCTGTGTGTGAAAAAAAAAAATTAAATTTAGCATGATGGTTAGGTTAGATTTTAAATATTATTATTAATCCTATTTAATATAGTACTATTAATTTTTTCAGTTTTTTATACTTTTTGGGGTTAATAACTATCAACAATAATAAATAAGGTAAATTTAAGTAACTTACTTCGTACATTAGATATTAAAAAACCTATCCAGCTATTATTATTTTACATTGCAAAATAAGCTATTTCTATTGACAACATATGAATGATTGTTTTTGCAATAAAATTACAAAACACAGTATGTACCTTGCAGTGTTTTGGTTTGACATGATAAAGCAGTGCCCCGTCATTTAATTTTCTTCGTTTGTAGTAGGAAAAAATAACAGGGCATTTCGTAAATAAAAGAAATATGCACAGTGTTCTTCATCGATAACTGTACCTTCGACACTATTCAGGGTTAATAACGTTCTTGACTTGTTATTTCCAGCTCTCCTGGGCGGACTTCATCTTAGTTGCCATTGTGGACGTGATTAATCTATTGTTTAATATTGAAATCGAGAAGGATTATCCCTCCGTGCAGACGCTCGTTAAGAAGATCAGAAATTTGCCGGGAGTGAAAGAATACATTGCTAAAAGGCCTCCTTACCACGTCTAAATTTGATCTATATGATTGTTGTTATTATTAAATACATTTTGTGGTACAGTAGTTTCAATGTGACATCGTCTTTACTAAAAGTAACTTATGCAAATCACAGGTACGTTACGTCAGAAATAAATACCAATTTTCTCAAACATGTTCGGAAATGTTTACATTACTTTAAAAAAACGAACACGGGAAGTTAGTCATATAGGTATAGTGAGACTTCTTCCTGGCCAAGGCCTGCAAAGTAAGTATAAAAATACATTACTGTCCACTTTTCTAAACTTTTAAATCTATCTACTAACAATGAACTATGTAAACAGGCAAAGGATAACTCATACAGCCACCTGCCTAGTATTAGTGATTGCGAGAATTAAAAATACCTACCTATATCGCTAACTTAAAAAAAAAGAAAAATGCGGTAAAATAAACCAAAGTGCTTTGGCAATCTTTTCTGTTTTTTCGTCTTTTCGTATTTTCGTCGTGAAAATGATAAAATGAGGGATATTTTGTCAGATTGATGGTTAGAGTGAGACGAGCGATAACGAAAATAAAGTAATGATTGTACTCCACTTAGTTTAAAACAAGAGGCAACATTAGCCATGGAAAACTTGTTGCCGGTTATGAGCAAAATAAGATACTTAAAAACATAGGACGCTAAACATACGTTGACTGGCTAATGTCATCACCATGATTGCTAGTATTATAATGTATGCCATCGATGGGATAAGGAGAAATAAAAAATAATGGGTATCGATACCTTTACACTCAATCAAACTGACCGTAAAGGTGAGGCCAGACGAGCCTAATTTTCTGAGTTGTGAGTTGCGCTTTTGAGTTGCGCAGTTTGCGGTCGACCGAAGTTCGATTGGAGCGCCAGACGAACGTATTTTATTCAGTTGCTTTTAAGCGTTTATACCAAAGTGACCCCTTCCCAAGTCAGTTGTCATTACGCCCGTGAGTCGGCAGATAAATCATTTTGCGTCGTCGTATGAAACAAACCCCACTTTGTATGTTACGGGATACCCGTTTGTGAACCAATTTCGATGATTCTTTTTTCATTGGAAATAAGTAGTGGTGTAAGTAGTGGCATAAGTAGTGGCAGAAGTACCTCAGTATTGGTCTCATTTAAATTTGAAGAAAATATTCCACTTACGGGTGGCAACGTCGGGAATGAATCCTGTTTTGCGCACTTTCCGTTAACCGACTTCAAAAAAACTTGGCAAATAGATATAATTCCACGAATTTTTGAGGTCGGTTTTCTTTTTATAAAAAAGCTACAATTACTGCCTCTGTGGCCGAACAGTTAGCATGCTGGTTTGCCACGCAGAGGTCCCGGGTCCGATTCCCGGGTCGGGAGAAAAATTGGTATGGTTTACATTTATTTCTCTTGTGAGTTTAGGTGTAATTTGTGCTGTTTTAAATGTGTGTCCATGGCCCCCATGGCACAAGGTTTCCCTAGTGCAGGGCTATGAGAGTGTGCGTTATTTATTTATTTATTGTTTGTTGACCTATAACTCGAGAACAGCGTCCTGAGTTTGAACGGACTTACGACTTACTGTAAATAGTAGAGGAAAAAGAATTATCCTTTTTTCCGGATCATGACTAGTGCATGGTATTTAATTTACGGTAACCTGTCACGATTATTTTTTCTGAAATAACGTTTGTTTGAATTTTCATCACACCGAAAACCGAATTATAACGAAACCGTTGTTCCTTCAGGATATGTTGGATGTTTATCGCAAAGACACGATTAGGTTCGGTTAGGTTAGGTTAAGTTAGGTTTTTCTCCCGACCATAGTTCGCGCAATGATTCATGAAATGGAAAGGGAAGGTACAGCCCCTGGCCAGATTCGTCGTCGGAGAGTGAGTCGCAGAAGGAGAGCTATGGCTCTCCAGTTGTCGACATAGATGGGCAACGGGTGGCGAAAGTCCCCGTGACATGGGTCCATGAGCGGCAGACTTAGAGGAGTCGTTACTTCGTCACTCGTTACTGGTGGACTCGAGATGGCGGCGTACGTGTTTCACGTCTGCCTCTCAAGATTGCTGACGGGGAGTCAAGAACTCTCCCCGGGATGGGTTTCGGCGCTGTCGGACCAATCACCGTCGGAATCGCGGAAGAATACACAAGCGTCCTTGTAACTTCGGCACATGGTGAGTAGATGCAACACCGTCAGGTTTTAGTCGGTAGGAGTCCGACATAACCCTTCGCCTCCCCCGGGCGCAGGGTATCCATGAGGATTTCCTGATGTTAAAAAAAATTAGGTTTAATATAAAAAACATTTTCCTCTCAAAATTACTTTCAAGGTTATGAAAATTCGAGCAAACGTTATTACTACTGATAGGTAACCTTAATTTACGCGTTTTTTTATTGATTATATTATTTTTACTATGGACCAAAACTCAAGAAGGCTGCTAATAGGAATACAAGACAGCGGATTCTGGTACACCAAAAGTCTCGACGAGTAACATCAAGCTATTTTTGTGACTAATTTGTTTTACATTGCCAAGTTGCAATTTATCAAAGCTACTCTAATTTGTAGTGATAACGAAGAGATCAACTAGATGGCGCTTATTGCAGAGATTTTTATTGATAATGCGGGCTATTCTTTTATTTTATTTAGGATTAGCGCCATCTACCCATATTAGGAAGCGTTAATTTATAAATTAGTTAGTGACACACGGTGCCATCTGTTGACATGCATATTTGTAAAGGTTCAGACAATAATTTTGGTTCTTGATCAAAATTTGAATAAAGAGGGAAAAAATACTGACTTCTTATATTTCATATTAAAGACGAATTAATTGATATCGACGGCCATTTTTTTTTATAAGACCGAGTGACGTGACGAACATGTCGTGCGCCTAATGGTAAGCTACACGTCTATCCATAACAGTTACAGTGCCACTCAGAGCCTTAAATTGCAAGGATCTGAGGGGCACTACCACTGCGCCTGTCGCCCTGAGACACAAGTTGACAAGTCCCATGTGCCAATAATTTCACCAGCATCCTTACCCTTCAAAACCGGAACACAGCAATGCTGACATACTGTTGACTGCTTGGCGGCAGAAATAGGTAAGGTGGCAGTACTACCCCAGACGAACTCTTTCACAAGGAGCTCTACTGCCACTAAAATGTATATAATATAAACTACTTCCAGGCTGTCAGTCACATCATCAATTTTGGAGAAATTGGTCCATGGTAATTACCTATCTCATTTTTACTTCTCTCTAATATTATTTTATCATTATTACCTTTTCGTTTATCTTGTTAGATATATTATTTAATAATGTATTGGCGCCATTAATAAAAAGGTCTAAAAATCTTACTGGGAAATATTTATTTCCAACAGTGAAAAGAACTAAAGGATATTAAAAAATTAGCTATAATTTCTGTTTATTCAGTTCCTACAGCAAACAATAAAGAGATTTGTCTGAGTTTTGCAAGTCCTCTTAGCAATAGTCTATCAACCATAACAAAGTATTGTGTAATAAGGACATCTAAAGTTATAAGGTATACAACATAATTTACGAATTACAAAAAATCTTCAATCTACCGGTTCGCAGCTGCCGCAGAGCGTGTAGTGCCATAAAACCTGTTTAACACGATGAACAGATATAGGCTGTTCGAAAATAAAATCCAAGTATGTGCCACTATTTCAACATTGGTACAGGTTTCCTTGAAAAGCTGAAGGTATTTACGCACACGTGCGTCTACAATTTGACATAAAACTATAAATTGAATATTTAATACTTATAAATACCCTTATTATTAAATATTCTATAATGATATCATCAGCTGGTTCGGACACGTGGAGAGGATCGTGTCGCGATCGTGTGAGCATTACTGCTTTCCAGTTTTGAAGAGTAAAGATACTGGTGAAATTACAAGCACATTGGACTTGTCAACTTATCCCAGTATCCCAGTGTGACAGGCGCAGTGGCAGTGCCCCTCAGATCTTTGCGATATAAAGCTCTGAGTGACACTGCAACTGTTATGGACAGGCATGCCCTTTACACCAGGCGCACGACTTGTTCGTCCCGTCACTTGGTAATATAGAAAAAAAAAGTATGAGAAAATTATTGTTGCAGCCTGTATATTTTAAGATAAGATAACCAACGTAAAAACGTAACTATGACTCATTTGGGCAATTCTGACCTTTATTATCATAGGCATAGTATATGCAAAGCAATATTCGAGCAAATGGTAGATAAAACTAAATTATTATTCGCTTAGTCGTCATTTAGAATAGTAAACTGCAAGAGTGTAAAATGGCTCAAAAACTATATTATTTTAATTTTAATGGATTTGGCGAAGCCATTAGATATATTTTGCACTATTCTGGACAGAAGTTTGAAGATATCCGTTATGAAAGGAAGGATTGGCCCATCATGGAAGTCAAAGACAGTACGTAACAGATTTTTCGTATTAAAAATAGGATTTTTTGGCTATAAAAAACAAAAACATTTTATGCAAAGATACACACAGCGCAGAAAATTATGGTTTTACAATTCTGCGGTTTTACAATTATACATTAGATAACCATTATCGAAGTAATTTATTTTAAATTGAATTGAATAAAATTGAAACGTGTATAAAATTGCAATATGGCAACACAGCAAAATTGTAAGAAAATGAAACTTTGGATTTATATCTTCTTGTCGTATCGATGGCATACACTTTATAGGCGCATTTATTCCACACGAATTTCATGGCGCTCACCCCGCGTTGCCGCCGCGAAGCGACCGCGTGCGTCTAATTGTCATGGTCAAATAAGCTCTATTCATTTATATTTTACGTTTTAACATAAATGATCGTCCCGGGCACATGAGCGAGACTGGCTTGAATTTGGTCTAAGCGGAGGCCGCGCGGCGATCGCGCGGTTGTATTATTCAGAGGAATTTAAATGTTGTTGCCTAGTAAACAGAGCTCAGATTCGCCATTAATGTGCATAAAGGTGTGGTAGCTGGGCATTTGCGTTCATCGTGGTGGAAAGAATTTGCCAATCGGCGTAAGGTACTCGCCGATTCTCATGTACGTTGATTTGATTGTTGTGTACGTTGTTTGTGGAGGTTCCTTTCGTGCACCCCATATTTACATTCACCTGTTAGGCTAGTTGCAAGAAAAAGGTTTCGATATAATGCTATTACAAATGGCGGTCAAAATAGTAGCTTGCGTCTGCAATGGCTCAGCACGGAGTCTGTTTACTATAAAATGTGCATGAATCCATGAAGCCAAGAATTAACATAGTAGGCAATAACATAATAATCGCTTCGTCAAGGACGATCCAAAGGCATTTGTTGAGAAAACTAATATTGTGAATTGAAAGCCTAAATAACTGCTATCTTTTGATTGCATTTTTTTGGAAAACTATTACAGTAAATCCACCGAAACTGGCAGACTTTTGACTAGCATTTACAATAAGATGATACAATGATAAACGATGGTTACCAAAATTATGTGATACCATTACTTAGATCATTAATTTATTTCAAGTTTCTCATAGGTGGCGCTGACGGCAAAAAGCCGTTTAAAAACAAACACATAGAGAGATTCGTAAGAGGTGTTGACTCAGTCTTTAACTCAGTTAGTAGGAGCGGTGGCCACGGTGAAGCAACAGATGCTGGTTCGAGTATAGTCAGATCGAAAGAAATTTACATTGTGTTCTTCGGTCTTTCTATCAATAATAACAACAAACTAGTGCAGTAGTAAAACAATCACGCTATTCAATAAAATAAATATTGCAATTAATTTACTTTCTAAAAAGAATGATTCTTATTAAACATGTTTGCAATTCCAGAACTTCCCTACGGCCAGATGCCTCTTTATGAAGAAGGCGATCGCAGCTTGAACCAATCGATGGCAATCGCCCGCTACTTGGCTAGTAAGACTGGTCTCATACCTTCCGATCCTTGGGACCAGGCTGTGTTGGATGCAATTGTATTGGACATTTATGACTTCTCTAACAGTAGGTAACTTGAATTGATTCCTTTTACCTTATAGTTATAGATATTCTTTTATTTTCATCTTTCAATTTTTTTCTATCTGATGCCGTTACAGACCAAACACATGTGGATGCCGTCATGCATGTACTAATAAAATAAAAACTTAAATTATCTAAAGGAGAAATAATAAACACTTAACAATCTCCATTTTTAAATTTGTATTGAATTGATATTCAATTACTGTTAATAGCGATATCTCTAGCCAGCTGGCTGGTAGCTGTAAAGTTACCCAACTGGGTGACGAAACACTTTCATAGATTTCTCGTAGATAACGCCACGGCTAAAAAGTCGTAGAAAACCAAATTTTAATCTCCATTTTGTATGGTTAGTTTAATGTATTTTAGATTTCGACAGTTTTATTGACATTATATAATAAAATCAAGGCCGCTTGATCGTAAAATTAAAGATTAAAATTTTGTGTGATAAGTTCTTTTTATTTCGATAAACTGGAATAAAATATTTATCATAATTGAAATCAGTTGATGTATAATCGAGTGATTAAGGTTAATAAAGGCCGTTATTGAAGTTGATGACAAAGCAAATTCGAAAGTAAAATTAATGTTTATAATTTGAAATAGTAGATTGTGGAATGTATTCATATTTAAAAACATTTTCAACAGTATCTAATCAAAGAATTTTTCATTTTCAGAAATAAAAATGTGGTTCATGGAACAAGACCCAGGTAAAAAAGAAGCTTTAAAGAAGGAATACGTAGACGACAATGTTGAATTCTATTTCTCTAGATTCGAAAAGCACCTGAAGAACAATAATGGACACTTTGGGGGAAAGGTAAGGGCTACTATCATAGCATTCGCTAAGTGTGTGATTGTAACTACTAAATGATTACCTATTCAAAATTTCAAAAGAGTACGAGTTGACTACTCGAGCTTGCGTTGAAATTTGTCACTGCTTGCATTGTCACCACGTAGTTGAGTCACGGTTTTTATGTAAGACTCGGGTGGGCCGACTTTTGTTGACATTGTGGAATTGTGGAACTTAAAGTTCGGATCGAAAAAACCTACTATGCAAGCATTTATCCCGAAGGCCAGAAAGTTTTCTGGACTGTAGGAATCTATTGTTAAAAGAGCATCTTATTTGGGTAAATTTAAAAGCACGTTATAAAATTAAAATAATTACGTATTTCTTTGATTCATAATTAAAGCACTTATGACACTACGGTCGCTTCGATTATTCTATCCATTTGCTCTTACGACATTGGGTCACTGTTATGTAGTAATATAATGCAAAGTTTATTCTAGATGAGTTTTATTAACAATAGTTAATAATGTTATTGATAGGTCCCTCTTCGTTGTTTCTGACTGAAAACCAGCGCCTTAGAGAACTTAGGCATATGCTGAGTCAGAGCCATTTTACTGCTATGACAAAAATTGTATTCAATCTGTATTTGTGTCATATTAGTGAATAAAGTGTTTATCTATCTATCTCTTGCTACCTTTGCAGCTATTTAACAGATTTTTTTGCGTAGCTCTACTGGGCCGACTTTGTTCTTGTTGGCATTGTGGAAACCATGAACCTCTACTTTGGCATTGAAATCGAAAAGAAATACCCAGCAGTACAGGCTCTTATTGAGAAGATCAGAAATCTTCCTGGAGTGAAGGAGTACATAGCTAATAGGAAACCTTATTCACTCTAATTGTGGAGTAGTTCTTTGAATTCAGATTTGTTTATTAAATATGTCTTAAAGCTTGATAGACTTTTCTTTTTCGTTATCATCACCCATTTATTTAAGTTATTTACGGTCCATGGCTGGGCACGGGTCTCCTCATAGGCGAGCGTTTAGGCCATAATCCCCCACGCTGGCCAAAAGGGATTTCACACATTTTTCGTCATCACAGTGTTTTCCTTGAATGAAAAGCTCATGGTAAATTTAAAATAAAGTTTCGTATAGACATAATAATAATAAGTAATATAAGATAACGCACAATTCCCCGCACTAGAGAAACCAAGTATCGTGGGTGCCACGAACACATATAGACAGCTGCAAATTACACTCAAACTCAAGAGTTTCTTTTTGACAATTTCTCCCAGCCCGGTATTCGATCCTGGGATATCTGCGTGGGAAAGACCAGCATGGTAACCGTTCGGTTACAGAAACAATTAAAATCCGAGAAACTCAAAGGTGCGAGCCCAGATTCGATCCCACGGGCTCTGCTTGAGAGACAATCCTAGTTTAAAAGCCTTATTAGGGTAATAAAGATACCAAATTACCCAGATTTTGCTTATTCAAAGTGCAAGTTTTGCTTATTTTGCAAATAGCCGGGGAACTGTACACAGGCAGGTTTTCTTAACAAAACTTCTCTTTAAAGATCAAGTAAGTGTGAATTTCTTAGAATAGGGCAATTGATGGTCGCAGTGATATTGAGCTACTCAGGACCCCAATAAACCAACCAAATAAGTCTAAATTCAAGTCACTTTTTGGTATAAACAACAACGGCACTTTTTTATTTACACATAGGATGAATGAAAGTGTTATTCATCCTATATGTAAACGAAGAAGGACCGTAGGTCTCAATGAATAAATCGTAACTACAAGTATTGAAGTAAACACAATAAGATGGTTTAAAGTCAGCGAGATTTTGAGTATTACTTCTTACGCATGTGTTATTTTACGTTTCGTATGCGTTAAAATACAGAAATGATATACGCCAATGGTGACTATTGCGAGGTCTATTTATACATTGAGGATGATGAGAGTATTCATGAAGCTCCAATGACTATGATGTGGAGAGCTTGGTCAATCAAAAGAGAATGACAGCATTCCTAATGCTGCCAAAACAGAAAATATTACATACATACACATGCCCTACCGGGGTTGGCAGAGACTATGGGCCTCTGCTTGCTACGCTCCTGACAAACCTCCTTCGCCTCCTCCACTCCCATCAACCTCTTCATACATGCCCGTTTTTTCTTGTTACTTTTAACCCGGCCTTTTTTAAGGACATCCTAAATCTTATTGAGATGTGTTCGCCGAGGTCTACCTCTCCCCACACTTCTATCCACATTCGCTCTATAAATTTGTGCCGTCAATCTACCTACATACATTCTTTCTACATGACCAAACCACCGAAGCATCCTTCTCTCTATCCTTGTCACTACATCATCTTTCATACCACAACTTAAATATTTAATTTAAATTTAAGATAGATGTTGCCAAGTGCAGGTTTCATAATAACGTACATTTACAAATGCTTATTCAAAGCACAGACTGTACTACAATAGATTAACTGTTCTACTGGGTTTCACGTTTTTTTGCAATCAGTCTGCTCAAATTCTTGTTATTCGAAAAAAAAAACTTTTTAACCTACTTCAAAAAAGGAGATGGTTCTCAATTTGACTGTATTTTTTGTATGTATGTTAGAACACTCCGGCATTTGTAAACCCATTTCAATGATTCCATTTTGTTGGAAAGGGAGTACCTATGTACCTCAATAGTGGTCCCATTTAAAAACGAAGAAAATATTCCACCTCTAAGGGTAGTAAATTAAGGGATGAATCCGGTATGTATGATTTCACCCTCTTTCCAGTAACCGATTTCAATAAAACTTGGCAAATAGATGTAATTCCACAAACTTTTATGGTTGTATTTTTCATAGAATATACATAGGGCGCACTATAAGTTTCCGGAACTGGCTACTTACATAAACAATATTTAAAAAGTAATTACAACATTTGAAAATGGAACTCTTTGGCTGTAGAATACAGTTTATTTCATCTGACTGTCACTTGTTTTTACATTGTGGCGTCATTTTAGAAATTGTTTATCTGGTTGTGACTTTTATTTATTTCCAAAAATTAAGAATTAGTTACGCGGTCAACGATTTTCATCGCCTGAAGAGGCTGTCGAAGAGCATGAAAAATATGTTTCAGAGATTGCTACGGAGGAGTGGCATAAACGTTTTCAAAATTGGTTTATTCGTATAAAAAAGTGCGTTAACGCTAACGGAGAATATTTTGAGAAACAATAAATTCATTTCTGACCATTTATAGTATTTTTTTCTTATTCATTCCGGAAACTGCCGGAGGTTGTCGAAGAGTATGAAAAATATGTCTCAGAGGAGGCCACGAAGGAGTGGCATAAATGTTTTCAAAATTAGTTCATTCGTATGAAAAAATGCATTAACGCTAACGGAGAATATTTTGAGAAACAATAAATTAATTTCTGACCATTTATAGTATTTTTTTTCTTATTCATTCCGGAAACTTATAATGCGGCCCGCGTAATTAATAACGTACACACTCATAGTCTCTGTGGCGTTTGTTGGGGGTTAGCTCAATGAAACAACGTTTGTTGCTTCACGTACACGTGCGATACATGCTCGCTCACGCCACTGTCTCGTGTCGTCATGGCGGGAACGGCGAGCTGCAGTGTGACATATATTGTCTATTGTCTATTGTCTATGGTATATTATGTCAATACACTACAGTCCCGCACTAGGAAACCCCTGAAATTAATGTAAACAAGAAATATGAATATAAGAAAGGTATGAACCAAAACGTTTATAATTTATTATTTGTCACTCATCTTGTAAACTCTTAGCCACTCATGGTCTTGAATTAAGCTGTTTTTGTTCATACTAAAATATTATTTAATTATTCATACGACAAAAACAGTTTCTGCAATGCTCGTTTCAAATAAAACTTTTTTCTTATGCTACTGCAGCCTTGACGAGGTCAGCAAAAACAGGTAAGTAACTGAGGGTGAAATAAAAATTAAGAATATTTCTTTGCGACAAAAATACATTACTTGTTTCCGATGTTTACTCCAAGTCTGAAGCTTGTACAATACAGCTAACTGATTCTCAACGCTTTTCAAATTTCTACCGCTGTCAGCGAAGACTTTGTCCGGTAAGCCTCTTCTAGATAAAAACCTTTTGAAGCAGCGAGAAAGGTATTTGTTGTTAGATTGTCTTGGGAGTTTAAGCAATTGACAATACAGAAATATTTCATTTGACTATTTTCCATGTCAGAAGCGTAAGCCTGTAAATTCAATATTAAAGTGTCTAATCAATATAATAGGATCAGTGAAAAGGACTGACATTTTCAATTGCAATATCTAGCTTAAGCGTTTTGTGCTTTCTCTTTATTAATTGTGAGAGAAAAAATGCTGTATTGATCTCTAATCGTCTTAATGATTTTGGGGTTAATGAGAAATTCTGAGCAGTATAAACATAACGTCACTTTACCATTGTTATGTGGGTACATCGAGTATTTAACGAGAAATAGAGACGAAATGTCATTTAATTTGTTTGAAAATGATTCTGCCACATCATTGTACGATGACAACTGTGTTTCTACTGGCCAGCCCGAATTCGAAACAATTCACGGGTGTCGTCAATTGTTTCACTCCAAATTCACCAGTTTAACTTGAGCTTTGCTGTAATGGACGAAAATTTAATATTTAATTACCAATGAAATGTGATTCCGTTTATTTTGCAATTAGATGTTTTGCTGTTTTTCCCACACTACTAAATGAAATAGCCCCCATAGAATATTTTTGAAATATACGGAGACGTACACACAGGGCAGTTGTTGGCGTTGTGCCATTTCAGTTTTCCAATTTGTGATTTCAGCGCAAGCGAGAGTTGATATTTAAAAGTGATTACTGGTTGGCCCCTATTTCGTCTCTATTTCAGGTTATATACTCGATGTATAGGTACTATCCTAAGGTAGGTGCAGCACCATGTTAGTAAACCTGATTAACTGCACTACTCTGGTCAACTCTGGTACTAAAATGTTCCTGTTGAATTTATTTGGCTTCATATAAAAAGACTGACAGTAAATTCTAACTACTTAATATTTGTCAAAATAGAGACACTCCAATAAATGCATGGTGATATTCATAAATGAAAAACATATTGACGTGTACAGAACGTGAAATAATACTTGCGTAAATGGGAATAACAGCTCACGTGTATATACTTTCACAGTTACCTGGCAACTAAATGTACTCAGTGTGACTGCGGTGCCAGCATTCGCCACTCGTTGAAGTAAAAATTAGGTAATCATTTTCTTATCAGACTGTATAATTCACAATTCATTGTGATTGGTCGTCGATGCTCATCATTTACGCAATTTTTAACCTTGTATCATACACATAGGAGATATTACATAAAAACAATTCGTATATTGCTGCCCAAGGACACTGAGTGATGGATATGTATAATCGGCATTGTGAATTGTAACTTACAGACAGCAGTATGTCTTCTAAACTACATTATTTCAACATTAATATACTTGCTGAACCTATCAGGTATATTTTGCATTATTCCGGAAAGAAGTTTGAGGACATCCGATATGAAGTGAAGGATTGGCCCATCAAGGAAGTAAAGGACAGTGAGTGTCATTTAATTTATGATTACATTTTAGGAGACATTTTAAGCCGGGTACTCACTAGCGATCTGTGACCGTAATCGTTGCATGTTATGGTACTAAAAATTATTGTGTGTACGTGGTTCGCGAGTTTGCCGCGAGCGGAACTCGCGCTGTTCGCAGTGACCCGACAATTAAGGTACTTATTCTAGCAAGTGAAGGCTGATTCACGTGTACATACTAGAACCACGTTAATAATCTATCACGTTACAGTTACAGTTCGCTAATGAGTACTCGGCTTTAAGATTACAAATTTTGCGTAATGGATAAAAACAATTGCTCCGGGCATTGTAGTCTTATTGTTGACTAACAGGAACAAGCACATAAGTACGAGTTTGAACAATTGAAATACGCACACAACAATATTGATTTTTTCCCCTTCGTTTACGTAATTATTTTCATAAGCGTGTTTCTTTCCATTCTATTCCGATACCTCCAATGGACACTACGCCAACTTAATTGTTAAGTTATTTTCTGTTTTTAATGTAAACAGTCTTATTTTAATTACTAACATTATCCTCTCCGAATTTTGTTTAAAAATTAAAGAAACAAAAAACAAAATTCGTAAAAAAACAAAAAAACGAATTTTCGGAAAAAATAAACAAAAAACAAAATAAAAACAGTGATGACCAAAAAATTAAGTTCGGCAACTTAATTTTTTGGTCATCACTGTTTTTAGTTAGTGTCCGTTGGAGGCATCGACTTTATAACCAGAAATGGAGACGAAATGTCATTTAATTTGTTTGAAAACTTTTCTGCCAAATCTTAACGATGACAACTGCGCTCCGATTGGCCAGCCCGAATTCGAAACAATTGATTGGTTTCGCCAATTGTTTCACTTCAATTCGACCAGTTTAACTTAAGCTTTGCTAAAATGGAGAATATTAAATACCGATGAAATGTGTCCCGTCTCTCTCTCAATCTGTTTTTTCCACACCACCGAATGGAAGAGCCTTCCATTGTTAGAGATATATTATCTTCATTACAATAAATACAAAATATTTTTGGAATATATGGAAACGTACACACAAGTAAGTTGTTGGCGCTGTACTATTTCAGTTTCTTAATTTGTGATTACAGCGCAAACGAGAAGTGATATAACGCCCATTTACCTGATGAATTGCCAGGGATGGATGGCCCTTATTTCATCTCTATTTCTGGTTATAAACTCGATGGTTGGAGATATCGATTTAGTTTGACTAATTACTGAACTGTAGATAAATGCAAAATAATAAGCTGTTATTGTTCATAGACAATTTTCTGTTGTCTTTGTTCTTGTTTTATTCATAAACGTAACTCCACCTGTCTCAAAAATAGTTGTCAAAAAGACGTCAATCAATATTGACGTATACACCTCTGTCTCTGTCTAAGCTCTTCTATAATAATTCGGCGTAAGTATTTAAAGTTTTAACAATTAAACTATTAATTGTCTTAACAATCTTTATTTTTCACCAATAACCCATAACCTTCTCCACATCCACGATGCTATAACAGTTAAAAGTAACATGCAGATGGCATTCTTTTTCCTGTTTTGAGTTGTCAATTCGTAATCATGATGTTGAAAATTGGCACCACGACTTAAAGGGCTTATTCTGGATACCAAAGCCATGATTTAAAGAATAATACCGAAAACCTACACAAAAAGGTGCACATGCAACTTTAAACTGATTAATATGAGTAAACACCCTAACGGACTTCACATTCTACTCAACTGAATCGGGGTAAACACACTCTGAGTGGTCGTCAACCTCCCCTTATAGCCACTCCCGGCCTCACAGCAGATTTCTGATCACACTTATATAAACAATCAGATCAAGGGTACCAGCAGCGAATTGGATTGCATTTCCGAATATGATTTCAGGTTTTTTAATGCTCATTTGTCTTAGTTTTGAGGATCAACATGAAACTATCAAAGTTAATTTAGTTAATTTAATTTTAAATACAAATCAAACATTCGCTTCGAGGAAATTAAAACACACATTGTTTTAATTTCATGTCTTAGAGAAAAGGGATTAATCACTAAAAAGATGACCGTTTAGATTTTTTAGCCTGCTGCCTTTGTAAATTGAAAATTATCATTTAAATACATGCCCTAATTAAATTTGGTACCTGTCACATACATAAAACAAAGTATCTACTGCGGAAAATTCCGAAATACAACCTTATTCTAATATTTCACCTGAAACTATATAACGATCTTAATTGTAGGACTACATTTCTATAATCGAATTACTAAATTATTATGGACTTATTTATTGTTTTGACCAAAAAGGTACTCTTGAAAGTTCCGAAATATTACTTTGTCTTTCTTAGAACTAACGTACCTACTTGAATAAGTATGAAGAACAAAAACGTTTCATCTGAACTTTATGACCTTCCCAATTCCAGGACTACCATACGGTCAATTACCTTTCTATGAAGAAGGAAGTCGTATTCTGAATCAGTCACTAGCAATCGCCCGTTACGTGGCAAGCAAGACCGACCTTTTGCCTTCTGACCCATGGGATCAAGCTGTATTGGATGCTGCTGTTTTAAATGTGTATGACTTCTGGAATAGTAAGTGTTATTTTATCTTCTTCTCTCTTTACATTTAACCCGTTCATGTAGCCGACAGTACTTATAAAGTAAAATACATCAAAATGCCTCTACTTTTTCACCGATCTCAATTGGACTGTATTTTTTGTGTGTTACGCGATTATTCACTCACTTACATTTGTGAACTGATTTCGATGTTTTTTTTTCATTACAAAGGAGTAGTGGTCCCATACAAGTTCGAAAAAACTGTTTTACCCCTAAGGGTGGCTAACTTGGGGATGAATCTTGTTTTCCTGATTTCACCCACGTTCCGTTAACCGATCTCAATAAAACCTGGCAAATAGACGTAATTCTACAAACGTTTGAGATCTATTTTTATATTATAAAAAAGTTATTACACTCTGTTATAGGTACCCTTTATTTATTTGTTACTTAATTAATAATGAGGCATGTGATTTCCATGTGTTTTTAAGTGTTGTGTTTTAGTCGTAAAATATAATATGTCATCACGTGTTATAGTCAATTAATGTGTGTATATTGTCTATTTTCTTTTTAATTGTACCACAATAATTTCAGATACCAAACCTATAGCCAGAGAACAAGATCCTGAAAAAAAAGAAGCTTTAAAAAAGACGTTCCTGAGTGAATCAGTCGAATTCTACCTGTCCAGATTCGAAAAGGAATTAAGTAACAACAACGGACACTTTGGTGGGAAGGTAAAAGGAATCTGTTTCATTAATTTTATTTTCTTTATAATTTTTTATTCGTAATAATATACCTATGTGGAAATACGCAATTAACGCAAGTAATAATATATGTCACACATGAAAATAATGACTTGTGAAGTAGACGATGGCATTTAATAGCTATAACTAATTTGGTTAGAGTATTATTATCGCATTATGATGCTCTCGAAACACAATGAACAATTAGTAAGATAATACGGTTATTACTAATAATATAAATCGCTCGAATACCAAGGTACTACATGTATTATAAGTACAGGGCGGTAAATAAGATATTATTAACGAAAGTATTTTTACCGTGCGTCTTACATACAATGTTTTTCATAACATAATAACGATATATTTTTTTTGTATGAATAAATATCGCTTCACAACACAACATTTACGGATTTTGCGAATGGCGGGATTCTGTTTTTTTTTTTAAATAAATTTCCAGGTATTCTTGTATAGGTAATACAAGTCGAACTAAAATGTTATAAAAGATACAGATGCATGCAGTCACATTGTATTAGCTATAAAGTAAATAATTTGAATTCATAAAATAAATTTATTAAAATAGTCAAATTGCAAATGTTTAGTTTTTTTTCCGCAGGGCAATAATATAATGAAAAGCCAGTATGCATAATTAAGGACGTTACGATCGACTTTGCCTGCATGTCATGACACTGTTTACGAGCAAGTGTGATGAAAAATATATTAGTTAAAGTAACCCACGTGGAGCAGATATGTGTTTCTAAGCAATTTACTTTCCATATTACATTACATACCCAATCATGACGTACGCCAGCTTCGCATTCGCTCACGCAAATACCACGCTTATACACCAGCAGGCTGCAGGCTCTTCAAAATAGATTCATGCGCAACGCGACGGGTGCCCCGTGGTACCTGCGCAACACTAACCTCCACATAGATTTACGGCTCCCCACAATAACCCAATTCATGAAACAGGCATCGAGGAAATACTTCGACTCTGGTCCTCACCACCCCAACCTCCTCGTGGTGGCTGCATGCAATTACGACCCCCTCAGGGAACACCCCCACCGCGTACGTAGGACCCGTCGGCCAAGGGAAGTCCTCAACAACCCTGACGACCCTATCACTCTTGCCACTTTGAAGGCCAACCAGATTGCTAGTCAGTCCCGTCCCTCACGCACCAACCGTCCTCGCCGGCGAGGTCGCAGAAACCTTCACTTCAGCACGTATAGTGGTAGATTGTCTCCTATAGCACGCCCTTCTGGCGGAAGTCTTCAGTAGCGCCCTGAGCCGAGGTCCTTGCCCACTTGGGCCCAGGCCCGCTACTGTTAAGTTTAGTTTGTAGTTTATGTTACGGGTTATGAGCCTTCAGCTCGCCCTTTACATATTAATAATAATAATAATAATATAATAACAATAATAATAATATAATAATAATAAACATCTTTTAATATTTAATATTACATATAGCGCTACAGCTAGTCCTCGATGCAATAAAGTTAAATTTCATTAAATGATAATTATTGTTTCTTGTTACATTATTGATTATTATTCAGGATTATTAATATTTTTTGTATGACATTTCCAGCTCTCTTGGGCCGATTTCGTCTTAGTTGGCATTGTGGAAGCGGCAAACCTCGTTTTTAATACCGAAATCGAGAAGAATTACCCTACTGTACAGGCTCTCGTTCAGGAGATTAGAAACCTGCCCGGAGTGAAAGAATATATTGCTAAACGACCTCCTTACCGAATTTAATTTTGAACTATGTGATTGTTATACAGATTTTAAGACTTGAGTCACTTTAAGATTATAACTGGTGACAGGTATATAACTGAGATGTTCTAAATTATTATAAATGTGTACCTATGTATTGTTTTCTTCCTTCCATTATAAAGCACAATGTCATCTACATACCTCTTCCATAATTGTAACTACCTCTATGGCCGAACGGTTACCATGCTGGGCTGCCACGCAGAGATTCCGGGTTGGATTCCCGGGCGTAAGACATGTTTGTATGGCTTATATTTATTTCTCACGTGAGATTGAGTGTAATTTGTGTATGTCCATGACACCCGTGTTACACGGTCTCCCTTGTGTGGGGCTATGACTGTGTGAGTTATTAGTTAGCCATTTTAGACTCTCGCTTCTCCTAGGGCTTAAAAGATACATTTTTAATTTCGAAATAGGAGAGACAATATTCCTCGGCAATGGCGAAGTCTAAGGTGTATGCTTTATTTAGTAGGTGTACTTTACATTATCACTGGTATGAAGTTTTAAAAGCCAACGTTAAAACTCTTTGTTGGCACAACAAGAAGCGAAGACTCAAAATTAGTTTTGTTCTAATTGCTTTCCGAAAGTTTTGAGTTTACTTTGCGTTTCGTAAAGGATTTGTTGTAAAACTGGAGTTTCACTTTTAGATTTGCAACGGTATGATACTGTTTGTATTACACATTGGCTGTCGTGCAACAAACGAGAACTAACACGTTTATGGTCATTAAAAAATATGCCAAAAAAGGTTCTCAAGGTGAACAAACAACTAAAACGTGTAAACTCAAATATTTACAAATAAGTGTTAAATCTCCAATCTATATTTACCTATTAAGTGAGGAAAATCTTTTTACGACACCTAAATCAAATACATATAAACAAGACACAAAAAAGCAGTATAGCTTCTTGTGAAAGAGTTTGTCCAGGGAAGTATTGACATCTGAACTATTTCTGTCGCCAAGCGGCGACAGTGTGATGTTAGCATTACTGCGTTTCGTTTTTGAAGGATAAGTGTGAAATTACAGGCATATTAGAGTGATCAACTTATGTCTCAGTGTGACGAGCGCAATGACAGTGCCTCTCAGATTTTTGCGATTTCAAGTTCTGAGTGACACTACAACTGCTGCCGACAGGTCGCTTACCACCAGGCGCACGAATTGTTCGTAATGTCATTTATTAAAAAAAAAATCAGTATTTTTTAAACGCACACACTCATCGCCCCGCGCTAGGGAAACCTTGTGTGTCGCGGGTGCCATGGACACACAAAGATAACTACAAATTACACCCAAACTCACGAGAGAAATAAATGTAGGTCATACTAATATTTCTCTTGGCCCGGGAATCGAACCCGAGACCTCTGCGTGGCAGTCCAGCCTGACCGTTCACCGTTCGGCCTCGGAGGCAGTCAGTTAGTTTCAAAGCCTTATTAAGGTAACAAAGATACCAAATTACCCAGAGGTTGCCTATTCAATGTGCCTTTGTAAATAGCCGGGGTAACTACACACAGGCAGTTTTAGTTTTGGCTTTAGTTTTCTTAAAAAAACCTCACTAAAAAAGACGGAGAAAGTGTGAATTCTCTTTCTCTCGGGCCGGGAATCGAAACTGTGACATCTGCGTGGCAGTCCACCACGGTAACCGTTCAGCCGCGGAGGCAGTTGAGATGAATAAACATGGAATAAACAATCTTTGAACATAGACAAACTAAAGAAAAACAAAAATTTTTTTTATTTACTGTAAGGTTTTTTTTTAAACTTGACTCTTTATTCTTTATTTATTTTGGGTCGAAGATGATGATGTTTATATTTTCTTTTTATAACATCAAGTGACGAGATGAACAAGTATGATAAGCTACACGCCTGTCTATAACAGTTGCAGTGTTACTCATGGTTTTAAATCGCATCTGAGGGACATTGCCACTGCGCTTGTCACACTATGACATAAGTTGCCAAGTTCCATGTGCCTGTAATTTCACCAGCACCCTTAACTTTCAAAACCGAAACGCAGCAATGCTCACATTATTGCTTGGTGGCAGAACTACGTAAAGAAGCTCTACTGCTACTAAAATTATTATTAAGACTTAACGGCTGCCACGATCGATAATAATTGATATTAGTTCAAGGGCTTAATCAAGATAACAAAGACACCAAATTACCAAAAGGTTGTTGAGGTGTACCTATTCAAATTGCCTTTGTAAATATTTTAGTTATAGTAACTTTAGGCAGTTGATGGTTTTCCTGAAAACATTAGATAATTTTTCTCAACAAAACTTTCTTCTCATTATGGACCGAGTAAGTTTGAATTAATCACAATAAGCAATAGTTGGTTGTCGTTGATTATCCTAAAAAAATCTTGGTTATTTTTTTATGAGAAAATAAGTGCGCATTTGATGTCCAGCTCACCTGATGGAAATTGACGATGATGTCAACGACGGAGCGTGCACATAAATAGTGCCTCTACACTCTGGCCTTGAAAAGATGCAAGGTATGAACAACAACAAGTCTCATTTACGAGGAACAACAATAAAATGCCTTAACTATAGTACACTGCCTCTGTGGCCGAACGGTTACCATGCCGTTCGGCATTCTGCCACGCAGAGGTCCCAGGTTCGATTCCCGGGCCGGGAGAAATATTTGTATGGCCTACATTTATTTCTCTCGTGAGTTTGGGTGTAATTTATTATTGTCTATGTGTGTGTCCATGGCACCCGCGACACAAGGTTTTCCCTAGTGCGAGGTTACGGTGAGTGTGTGCGTTGAGTGTGTGCGTTACACTATATGATGAAAGTCCGTAGTGATGGTAAGTGGTACCTTATTATAAACAACAGTGCATGGTGTAATCATGCAAGTAAATCTATGTGGTGTTGCTTTACCGTTGTGCAACTGATATTTCAAATCCCCGTATCAAATATCAATTGTTTAACGATAAAGCAACAACAAACCATTTCTATTTCCAGGAGAAATCTGTCTTCTCTTTCTGAGGCGCGGTGGTTATGTGAGATTTCTACTCACTAAAAACCTCCGCGATGGGGCTGTGGCCACGTGGTATACGATCCACGGCCCCGCCTGTGGTTGTCCGCGACTGCGGACCTACCTTTGGGTGACTTTACCGTCCCCACTTCATCATTAGTGGCATGCCGGGAATATTTGGCACGCCAACCAACCTATGAACTCTTATTCAGTGTGTGACAAAGCCCCCGTTCCGCCGCCTCCTTCCGCAATAATACATCGGTGCAGAAGGAGGCTGAGGATTATAAACAAAGGTTAACGCGATGCAACATTTTATTAGGTTTTCCCGATGTTTTGGCCAGTTTGCATCGCCCGTGGCCACGGGCTGCCTGCAGATGCTATATTACGTCTCCGTCTTTGCAGAAGAATCTACATTCTGCGTGACATTATTCTTCTTAGTGCAATCTGGACTGTAAATACCAATAAAAACTTTTCATTGCCATTATTCCTATTTTGCAATGTTAGTGTAAGGCTACGCGAAAATTTAGACGCTGGATCCGCTTATTGTCATATAATAGATAAGTTGTCAGCATTATTAGAGAGCTCTTTGTGTTGAATCCGGCTGGGTTGGTATCATCGCTTAGGCTATTCATACCGCAAAGTAGAACTACTTGTCCCAGATTCTATTATATTTACAGATCCCACAATAACAGAATCATTACTAATACTTCCAGGATAATCGACTCAAAACAACATGAAATTTGAAAAACGCTTAGATTACGCTATTAACGCGAAGATTTAGCAATTGCTTAGAGCAATTATAATACATTTTTTGTATAGCAAAAAATATTTTCCTAAAACCGTTGAAGTAAATAAATAAATAAATAACGCACACACTCATAGCTCCGCACCAGGGAAACCCTGTGTCGCGGATGCCAGGCCAGCATGGTTCGATCGGTCACGGAGGCAGTTGAGTGGTAGAAAGGTACATTTATTTTATTTTTGTACCCCTGCAGCGCCTAATATTACGTAACTATTTGTCAACATATCGAGTTCTTAGGTTTTCGCGATTGTTACACCTAGGAAATGAAACTATTTTTCACCTCACGGGTGATCATGGGACATGGTGACCTGTAAAACCGAAACGTTGGTTTGTTTGAAAAAATATAACGCAATTTCGATGTGTAAAAAGAATTTTATTCCTATTTGTCAATATTTTTATACTTATTTCCGTTGGTAACCGTTGAAAATGGCAATCCAAAACTGTGTAGAGAACATGCTGGTATTTAGGGGACCCTATCCAGAAAAAAACAGCTTATTCTCTGCTTTGGCATTAGTTTAGTTATATCCAGCAGCAGTAGAGCTCCTTGTAAAAGATTTCGTCCACGGAAGTACTGCCGCTTTACGTATTTCTGCCGCGAAGTAGTAATGAGAGCGTTCTGATCTTGAAGGGTAAGGGTGCTGGTGAAATTAAAGGCATATAGGCATATAATGTCTCAGTGTGACGCTCGCAGTGGCAGTGCCCCTCAGATCGTTGCGATTTAAAGCTCTGAGTGGCACGCAACTGCTATGGACATGCGTGTCGCTTGTCGCTTACCACCAGGTGCACGACTTGTTCGTCTCATCACTTATCATAGTTATCATAAAAAAGGACGATCCTTTTGAAATTTGATCACATTACAATATTTTATTGATTGTTTGTTATTCAAAAACATTTCCTTCGTTGTTTTGTTTTACTTTTGCTTCTATTTATACTTTCCTTGTGTACATTTTTATGTTGTGGCGTTGGAATTAATGTTTTCTGCTCTACATATTTTGCATTTTCTGTTTTCTGGGCGAGGTAAACAAGCTCATTACACCGAAGTCTTTGAAAGTGTTCTGACCCAAAAACCATTCATTAAAGGCAACAAGGCGTGTAATATTTCAGTTCCTGCTGAGATTAGCAACAGGTGTGAGAGTTGCTTAAAAATATTGATCCCTTGGGGTAGCAGATGGCGTCGATTGAATTCATTTGCTCTGTGATGTTATATTTTGATGACTTTAGTAGAATCTTATCATAAAGCACTTAAAAAGAGCTATTTGATTAATGTACCTTTTTACTGAATTATGAATAGTCCAATTACTCATAAAGCGATAATATCATGTGTACCAAACGCAAAATATCCTCTACTATGTCAAGTTTCGGAAACCGTACCTTATCAATTTTAATTGTGGCATATCATATAGGTATTGGATGTCATGTTTATAATATTAGCCACTTACATATTCTTACTCGAAAGTGGCGGATGAAAAAAATGGTGGAAAATTCTGGTACTAGTCCACAGAAAACATGGCATTTAGGGTATGACAAGAAATCTGAAAACTAAAAGTTTGACCTCAGAGTTTAAATGTAACCTTATCTCTATAAAATTTAATTGTAAGGGCGAAAAAGTGGAGTAATTTAAATCTTATTTACGAGGTATGAAAACTATTTTACACCTTTATGCCATAAAAGTAGTTTAGCACTAAAACGCGAAAAGTGCCATAAATTCGTGCTTACTATTAAGAAGTTTCAGGGCGAAAACTTCGACGTCTTCCCGAGCCGACGTAGCCTTAAGTAAAAAATATTCGAAGAATGTTAATGCCCAACTCTCAACTAGTTGGGAACTTCTGGAACAGTTTACAGCGGGAGTTCATTAAGAACGTCGTTCGTTTGGGAGCTGGTGCAAGAAAAAACCAAGTACCCTAAAAGCGTTTATTTAAAATTTACGAATACAGTTCCATCTATCTTTAAAGTTTAATTAATCCTTATTGCAATCTTACAAACATACTAACGAGACTTTTATAAAGCGGATTCTGGGACTTTTGGTCGAGTCTGGCACCAAAGCATACAATCACTCCAATGAGAACAAAGAAAAGCGCGTTATTTGTCACACAGAAATTCACGTGCTCGCTATTGAAATGGCCAGTTAGTATTTGGTTAAGGAGATACACTACACGACAAAAACATACAAAAGAAAAAGGCAACAGGAGGCCTTAAAGTTGTTGTAGTTCAATGCAAAAAATTTAATTAGCAATTTCATTAAATTTATTTAATATTGTTGAATGAGTAAATTTAGATCCAATGTAATAACTCCTTGGTCTTTAATCCAATACCATTTTTGTACTTGCAGGTAGCTCACGATCTCATCAGTACGTACAATATTATTTATTGGGCGTATCATGAATGATAAAACAATTTTTCAATATCAGCTTCTTCATTCGTTCTTTCTTCACGTTGCTATTGTAACGATTAAAGATACCAGTGGAGCAATAAATATATGTATAGCTTCAATGTCTACAAATTCAGCAAATAAAATAGACTAGAGAGCGCCATACTTTTTGTTTTCCAACGAAGTGAAGGATGTACAACCGTTGCGTGTACACGCAATAAGAGAAAAAACGTGAGAGAACTTTGCCGCTTACGTCTCATACCACAGTAAAGACCAGAAGAAGTGCTTCACTTTCTATAAGCAGGGAAATGAAGTTTTACCCACTAGGGATTCGTTTGGACTTGCTGGTAATTGGACTTAGCTTGGCATTGTTTGACGTCTGTGTTCAACTGCGCCAGATTTGAATTGATTGTTTGTGATTTCGTCTCCCGTTTAATTGGTAAAGTTTATTTCGAATAGGTACTTTGTTGTCTTTGAACACTGTTTTTTAGGGATCAACTTGAATGGGGAAATATATCATTAACACTTTGTAATTGAAGAACTTGGAAACGTTTTGATTCGTCTTGGTAATATATTTGAATATCGAGTTCTTAGGTTTTCGCGATTGTTACACATAGGAATGAAACTATTTTTCCGGATTTAAATCGCGAATGTATTCTAAATTCTCTACAAGTTACAAGCATACAGACTTGCAATGCGGTCTTGATGTATTTCATGACGTTGATGATAAGACACGTGATGTCATGCCATATTAGCATGATATTATGTCTATATTAAATTACGTAGCTAATTGCTAACACCAAAGTAGTTATTAAAGATAAAAATACCGAACAGAATCGCATAAATGGGACTAATTTAGCAATTTCGTGTTTGGAAGTGAGAAAAATCAATCAACACTTTCCATTAGTTACCTCATTTCACATTTAGTCGATATCGACATTAAATATCGCAGCATTTGGGTATGTTTGGTCAACAAACATGATGTCTATGACTATGGATTGCTTAATATGTCACGTCATACTTATTGTGACTTTGACTAAATCATGCATTGGTAAGTGTTTTGCTTCTACTGTAACTGTCGTTGAATAAGTAATATTTTCTTAATTGCCTAGGATTCACAGTGGATATAACGAGATTATTGACTTACAACTTGTCACAGACACCTCTCTGTTTAAGTAATTTTTGAAATTAAATTTTTTTAAGCATTTCATTACTTTAAAATGTCTTTGAAACTAATATGTCCAACATATAATTAACTACATGAGTTTATAAATAGATTTTGGTTACTATTTACAATTTAAAAATGAATTTTTCTTTAAAACAAAGTGACGGGACGAACAAGTCGTGCGCCTGGTGTTAAGAGACACACCTGTCGTTGCCGCTCAGAGCTTTAAATCGCAAAGAGGCACTGCCACTGTGCCGGCACCCTGAGATATAAGTTGACATATTATTTTGTAATAAATTTTTTGGTCGGCTATAAAAAAATTCTGGCATTTTTTGTGTATTTTTTCACTTCAATAATACAATAGTGGTTGTCTTGTGGATTCAAATCTCAAAACATTTATTTTAAATGATTTTTAGGTAGCAGCTCCAACATAGATTCGGATTACTATTATGGTAACATGGTGGTTCGAGCAGGACGAGTTGTTAAAGAATGCGAAAACCGCAACAAACAGTACTGTCTTTTAAAATGTGGAAATCTTGGTTACGAATGTATCAACAACAAATGCGTTTGTGTCAAGGCGTATAGAAGTTCTACGTCCAGTCTTGAGATGCACGGTAAGAAATTGTATATGTAAATTTTTTTATAGTTTTTCATCGTATTTTATCGAAGGCATGACACTTTATTGCTTGCAATAGTGGTGAAAAGATTTGCCAATCGATGTAAAGTACTCACCGATTGTTGCCCTGGTTGAGCCAGGCGGACAGGAAATGAATGGTACGGCAGTCTGGATAGATTGTATTATTATTTTTAGAACTATCTAAAAATTTGGTCGGTTTATATTTAGAACTAGATAAAAAAGAGGACTGTAGTCAAAGGAACATTGCGGTTGTTCTGGATGAATTTTCTAGCTAAACGCTCAGTAAAACGTTAATTATGAATATATTCCTCCTTTGTTATTAAATAGTAACTCTCTCTACGCTATAACTACGGTTACGCTCCCACAGTACGTCCTGCGGGGAGGCTCCTTTCATGGATCCCAAAGTTCCTCTGGTGGATTAATATCCACTTAATAATTACAGTTTATCCTAGTATCGAGAAGGACTATTTCTCAGTAGATCATGACTATGTTACTAATATTGGATGAAAGTGGTTGCTTTTTATTTATTTGTGTTTCTGAGAATAGTAATATCTTCTCAGGCTTCCTGGTTCATTGAAGGCATTATTATTAAGGTTAAACACAAATTTTTTTTTGTAATCATTGCATAAAACAAAATCATTGTGAGATAGGACTTCCACTTACTTAACTTCCCATAAATAAAGAAAGTCTGATAAAAATTTACATTTTTAATCGCTTTCAGTTGTTTTGTCACAAACGAAAATAAATATTAATTACATAGTTCCAATTAAATAGAATTAAACTGGTTCATAAATAAAGTGTTAAACATTGTAATTACAGTCTCTAAAAAGAAGTCACTTGAAAAATACAAATCAGCTAACATATACGAATGGCCAACAGAATCTTTCGAGCAACCAATATTACGTCATCATATCGCGCATTTTTGCCCAGACCTAGAAATAGCGCGACAGTGTATCAGAAAATGTATGGCTTTGGGCAAACCTGCGTTTTGTGGCAAGGATCACGTCTGCTACTGCTCCCACAAACAAAAGTACCCAGGTAATAACCTAATTAATGCTACCGATGTATACACGCAATTTAAAGATATGTATATAAAGTACTTCGGTCCTGGAATATTCCAAGCAAAACCAACTACACAAAAACCGAAAAAGAAAGATGAAGATAAGAAAAAGAAAGAAACTGATGCGAAGGAGAAAGAGGATGGCAAAGAGGATGAGGGAGGTGAAGACGGGGAAAAATCAAAGGAGGACGAAAGTAAAGAGAAAGAAGGGGAAACTGGAGATGATGGAGGTGACGAAAGCGGTACCAAAGACAGTAAAGAAAGTAAGGAAGTTGAAGAAACTACAGACAAAGATGATAAAGGGGATGCCGCAGATGGTGCTGAGACCACCACAGTAGGTGCAGAAGGTGAAGGAGAACGGAGAAGGATAGCAATTCTTGAATATTAATTCACATACTAAAATTGTTTTGTTTATTACAATTTATTCTTTTAAACACGTTAATTAATGTTATTGTGTGATTTTTCTGTAAATAACACGAAACCGGTTTGTGAGACTTAATTTGTGCATGAAGGCAAATTATCGTTTGTAGGTTTTGTCTTACAACGCCTAATATTTTATTTTTCTTTTCACACACGCTTGTTTCATAAAAATTGAGCAAGTTAGGCTGTGATTGTGAATATACGGATTTTTAAGGATACCTATAAGACCCTGTACAATTCTGTTAGTTTTGTGAAATATTTATATTTGTTTCTTTCTATTTCTTCAAACATATTTGATAATTTGCCTTCTGTGAAGTACCTGTGTCCTTTTTAAAAGTCCATCTCACATAAGAGTACGTAGGACTTCTTAAATTTTATGGCTACTTTATTATTATTTTGTTATTCCAAGTTCTGCCTGTATTCAAATAACCAAGTAAGGCTTGAAGCTCGTCCACATTGTCTCTGATTTATATGCCGCTAACATAACCACAGCTCGACTGAATTTTAATTATATACAGCCCTTTCGGAAGAGTTTGAACAAAGATATATAGACGTCATTTTGGCATGCTTGTAGTATAGACACAGAAATTCTACAGAGATATATTTGATGCCTATAGTTGACACATCGAGTATGTAACTGAAACAGAGACGAAATAAGGGTTATTCAGCCCTAGCAAATTGTAGCGGATGCTCGGAGGGTTGTTAGTTGGAGAAGTGAAACGCTCGATGTCTAGCTCGCAATTAACATTTATTTCGAAATTAGCCCCTTCAGAGAGAGAGAGAGAGAGAGAGAGAGAGAGCGAGAGAGAGAGAGAGAGAGAGAGAGAGAGAGAGAGAGAGAGAGAGAG